TGCTTCTGTGAGGTGACGCAGGATTGGAACTTGAACTAAAGCCGGGGATGGGCCGAGAGCCGGATGGAGCCACTGACAAATACCGTACCGTGACACTAATCGCGGGAAGACCGATTCATCTCTTCAAGATGATCTATCTTGTCTCGAGTCTGTGGAGAGGTGGCCCGCGTGGGTGATGAACCTCGAGATTGTGTGGGTGAGCGGGAGCAACGGGCCTTGCAACGACCCTGATGATTTCTGTATCGATACCTGCCTGGCCCGTCTGCACTCGTACAGCGTAGCAGTGTGTGCGGTACACCACCAATTTAGTACCTAGGTACCTCTACCATCCACCCTCTGTGCTGGCCGGGGATGATACCCTGGACCAGAAGAACAAGATACCGGGAAGGGCAGGTAGGGTAGGAAAACAAAAAGCGCCTGCAGCTGAAGCCAAATAGCGAGTAATCATGGCAATCGCCGCCTGCCTGCCCCGGTCCTCGTCGCATCAGCCTGCCACCCTGCAGTAGGTGGAGTGGCTCCCGCACGCAGCTCCAACAGGACGGCACTTGCAGCCATTGTGTGCTTTGAGATGTGTTGGTTACGCAGTCGAGGTAACCGTCCGCGTAGGAAGAGCACTGAAATCTCGGCATCGTGGTTCCGCACTGTTTCGGGACGAGTAGGATGGTGTTCGTTATGCCTTGCCACGAGAACCTGAAGAAGCATGAAAGATTACCGTCCTACTGCCTCAAACACGCCACGCAGCGGCAGCGTGGCTCGGCGAACAGTAATTCGATGGACGGATAGGACAGGCAGGGCGCAAGGGAGAGGAAGGGACATGGTATGGGATGGATCGTGTCTGGGGAATCGGGAGACGGGGGGCATACCTTTGGCTCGCTTGGCTTCCTCGAGAGACTGCGGGACAGAGACCGATGAAGGAACATGCGAGGAACATGAAGGGGGCATTGACCTCTAGCGTAGGGGTGAAGCCGCTTCTACCGATGAAGAAGGGCACCGTTGGTGGTTACGGCCAAGTATCCCCAAGCATTCCCGTCCGGTACTTGCAAAGTAGTGTAGTCAGTCCCACCCACCACAAGCAGCAATGCTGCCTGCAACTTTGCTCGTAGTAGTGTACATCAGGCCGGCAGCAACATCGATTGGCAGCCTGTGGTTTGTTTCTCTGATGAGCTTGATCCGTGCCGCCGCATCCTCCTGCTGGAGCTGCGGAACAGTGTAGGTACCGGACTCGCAACTGTCCCCACGCAAAGCAGAGCGGAGCCGAAACGGGATGTGGTTTCCTGAACGAGCTGACACTATCCCGACCGGCGATTATAGTGCCAATGGGGTCAATGGATGCCCCGTCCAGGCAGGCGGATAACTTTCGTGATGATGGATTCCGCCAAGCCCAAAGCTCGTCTGTCAGATCAGAGCATTGCGGTAAGCTGTAGGTAGTGTATTGTATGTCTTTGTCTCTGACTGGAATAGCCAGTGGCGGATTTTCGTCCATCTTTGCCTGGTCGGCATGTCTCTGATGCCGTGCTGTCACTAGCGAGATGAGACAAGATCATGCCGCAACACACTCGACATCCGACGATTTTGTGTTGCTGGTCCAGTCTGGTCCAGCCGATGATGGGTGATCGGCTCGCTGCCATCTTGTCCCGAAATACGATGATTATGACGCTGACCTGGCTGGCGATGCCGATAATGGTGCAGCAAGCACAGTGTTGAGGACGGCCGGTGTGGCAGCCCGCCGTCTGGAGGTGGTCATTTTATGGAAGCCTGCTGCTGGGTCATTGCAACGAGAGGTTGGCTCGGTTGGAATCAATCCATCCATGAAAAGGTGTTTTTCAAAAAGTCAGCCGGGAGAAAAGAAAAGTGTCCCCGGCTGTTCCCCCGAAGAAGAGGGGAAGTGGAAGCTATGGCGGGGCTCTCACTGAACCGCGCCAACAGCTCCCTTACTAGTGCATACCATCCACGCAAAGGGACACTAGCTCAATTAGCCGTAGCATAGAGCGAGTTTTGTTAGCGTCCTGTTAACAGTTCCACTGCTGACGTCCGAGTCTGACCCTTCTAGTTCCATTCCGCCCAGATCCCTTCAACAAAAGGGAAGGAGAACCTCGAGAAGCCCTCACCAAGTTACCTTCCCCACTTAGCGCACTCTTAGCGGGTAGGTGAAAGGTACCGGGAGACTGTAATCGTTAAAAACTCATCATTTCATGCATGGATCAAGTAACATCGACAGTGGTGGAGGTACATTGTTTGCTGCAGGTGCTCCCTTCAATTCCCGAGGTGCAAGGCCAAGAGTTTCCTTCCATTATTTCCGTCATTCCATCGAGGTCAACATCGGCTTCCCTCCTTCCCAAGACACGCGCACAGAGAGGCCAGCACTTGCTGTTACATCACAATGGAAATGATCGCATATCCAGGACGCCTGCCTCTAGTAGTATACAAGGCCTTGGAAATGCTGAAGGCAATGTACCTAGGTACCTAGAGGTACTAGTGTATGTATTCGGCTCTTTTTCCATCGATTCCACCTTTTCTCCCCCACAATCCGACGCCCAAGTATCGGGACCGCGCGATGACCATTCTTCTTTGTTGAGGTACCTAAAGGTACCTATCTCGACGACATGACTGCGCCATGAAAGATCCATCTTTCCAGAAAACCATGCCACAACAACGCATATCAGGATGGCCGACAGGTATGTTTGTGTTCAATCACGCTGGACGAGAATGCCTTGCGTCTCAAACCGCCCTTGGATATACCCTAGATGGCGGCAAGACTTGCTTTCTACGCCAGTCAACTCTCCTCCCAGTCTGGCACCCATCTGCCTCTCAGATCATTAAATCCCCCTCCCGGCGACGGAGGTGTTCCAGCTGTCAATGACAGTGTCAGAATGCAACTACTAGTGTACTGCGTAGAATGCCGAGGTAGGACGTCTTGCGTCTGGGTTATGTACAATATCGGTAGTCTACCTCACCATGCCCCGCGCGTCTGTTGCTATCAGCTGCGGGCTACCCACAATATTGCCGTGGTACGCTGTAGTGTACACTACGAATGGACGGAATACGCAAAGACCCTGTCCTCGCCGAGGCCCGTCCTCCCTGTCTTAGCCGCTGCCTCGAACGGTGTGCGGTCACGATGCGATGGCAGGATGGGTTAACCTTGCGGAGGGCATGGATATCCGAGGGGCTAATAAAGAAAGACGGGCTCGGCATTGGACGTCCTCACTAGCATCCCAATCTCCTGGGATTTGTGGAAGGCGGAGAGCCTGGATACACTTTGTGTTGCCTTGCCTTGTGCGTGCACAACATCCCGGCTGGGGACGGACGGACAGTCGGACGACAGGCTCAACAAACAGGCAGGGGGCAATGACTGCCGTCACCCGTGCTGGCACACAGAAGCTGTGTACTGTAGACATCACTCCTCCACCGAGCACTACACACACGATGCTCGTGGCAGAGATCGAAGCCGGCGAGAACATGTGCCTCACTCCCGCAGCACCTCTACGGAATCCATAGTGTACATATCTCGTCTCGTCTTCGGTTCTTTGATCCCCAGAGTACTCGGTCTGGAAGGTCCCTCTCCATCACGGCTACGTAGCCCACAAAGTCGTCACCAATTCGTGTATCCTTAGTGATCATCTCGTCCTGTTATTAGTGAACAGCAGACCCATTTCGCCTTTTGAAAACTGTGGGGACAACTTTTGGCAAGTCGGCTGTAAAACCCGATCAGAGCGGTTCGTCGGTTCTTAGTGGATCAACCCTGGAGTGAAAGAAAGGCGGCAAAAACTGTGTTCCATCTCATCCGCAACAACCTGGAACAGAAATGTTTCCGAGACATCGAAGCTTTCAAAAACCGAACCAAAATGGCACCACCGACGACTACACATGACAAAAGTCTAGGCCCAAAAGCCTGCCTACCAGCGACCAGCTAGCCGTTGTGTTCGTTGCTGCTTCTTGTCCTTCTCCTTCTTCTTCTTTTCCATCCTTCCGAAAAATGCAACCATTGTCGCTAACTAGGTACCTATTTGGTCAGGTTTGGTCCCCCAACCAATCTGATATTCGCCTTCCGTTTTTTTCTTTCTTTTCTTTTTCCTTTTGTTTCCTGTTTTCTCCTTCTCTTGCGCCGTGGCTTGCCGTACCATGGTTGGGTTCTCCTGCTCAATTCTCCGGTTGGTGCATCCCCAAAGCCGCCGCCGCCGCCGCCTTCTCTTCCTGAAACTTGGCGTCACTAGACTAGCGCAAGCGCCGGGAGGAGGTAAGATGCGGTAGGTCTTGGTTGAGGAAGGCGTATTGGATAACAGGGAGGTGGGAGTATAAGCGCCATCTATCATCCTTCCATCTTTTCTTTTATATCACTACTACTAGGCACCAGCTTTTTGTCGGACTGGGATTCTGATCGCTGCACCCACAACAACAATTACATGATATTGATCACCGTCGGAAAACTACGCAGCACGCAGTCAGCCGATGATGAGTTTTTCTTTCCGGAAATAAAATACCAGGGCTTGTTTTCCTGGTAGTTTTACTCAGGGAGTGAGTCCATCAGCGCGAGATGTTCAACGGATCGATCCCGTCAACGGCGCCGCCGCCGGAACCGGGTCCCAGTTTCCTGTCACTAGTGTACATTATCATAGTACCGTACCTATCGTCACCAATCTGGTCGTGGGCGGAGTTCCAGTCGTAGGGCAGTACACTACACGTGTACCAGACTGCCTATGTACTGTGTAAACAACTGCCGGGCGGAGCCTAGAGAACTTGGGGGTTGGTTAATCTTTGATCTTCAAAGCTTGGACTCTATCGGAAGTTTTGAGGTGGCAGGCTCAGGTACCTCTCTAGGGTTGAGAAGGCGGAGATGCTTGTTTGCATATCCGAGCTTTCCACGGCAATGACCTCCTACTGAATTTGCATACCGGACAGCCAGTTATGTAATGTATCCACCTGAAAGGAATTCTAGTCAGTTAATTAGCAACAGGAACCACGAGCAGGACATCCAATTTTGTAAGGTATCATCTTGTGTTTTTTTTCTTCTTTTTTTCTTCTTTATCGTCGAGTTACCTATCACCTGTACTTTCTTTGCAACCCAATAATTACTACTGGCCGAGAGACTCAACATATCTATTTCCTCGTTGCACAACAACGAGAAGTCCTGGAAGCTAAAACAGGCCGGAGATCTCCTTTGCAATTTCCGCCAGGACTCCCTCAGACCTAGAGGGCCGCATTCTGCATGATACCATCTGTTTGAAATGTGGTTGGAAGAGAAAAGAAAGATACCGGCACCGTTTCAAGAAATCAAAAGAACTGCACTAATAGTTTTAGTCATGTTGTCCTAAACTAATAAGCCAGTAGCACTGCCGAGTCCGAGCGAGCCTCATCGCACACTAAAGTGCCGAGGATCAAGTGCGAGGGATTGCAGGTCATCCACTTGCACGGGACTTTACTGAACGTCCCTGAGTACGCATGAGAACGTGATACGTAAAAGGGCCGTGATCTAGGTAGTAGGCAGGTAGAGGCAATCTATGTCTGCCGCGGGTGATAACGTAATAGATTTTACTAGTGTTTGACCGGTATTGTTTTGGCGCGCTTAGCACATACAGGAGCCACATCACTTACCCATACGATCTAGAGGCAGGCTAAAGAGGCTAGTTTCTACATTAGATAGTGTACAGAAGTATGTAGAGGTAGGTCAGCTCGTCAAGACCAACCTAGGATGCCATGTGCTCCGTGGGAGCATGTAAACTTTGTCTCGCAGAGCTTGTGAGCCTTCTTAAACTCTGTTAGTTGCCAGTTCTGGGATTCTTCACAACATTATTCCTTCTAAGGCTCTGAGCTATGAAGGCAAGTTGTCTTCGCTGTTATCATCAGATGATTCCTGAGTGTGAAGTCTGGTCCTGGGCTTGACTTTCGTCGGTTTAGATTGTAGAGGAAGGCATTTTCAGTCATTAATCAGTAAACCTTACCATCTGTACGCCTCATTCTTATTCCCGTCTTCACGCCTTGCTTCCAACATGTCTCTCCCTTCCTCTCGGCAGCATACCTTGGGTAAGAACATTAATGGTGCAGGCAGAGTAAAGATATGTACCCTCTGTAGCACAATCACTTCACCTACATGCCTCGACAGGCAAGGGTAAAAAGCGCGAAGTAAATAAGTACTTACTTATCGTATCATGCCTTTTCTGCTTTTCTTTTCCGTATGGAAGGCATTAAATCTCCATGTTGTTGTGCCGCTGATGAACAGGGAGAGATGAAGGTGGATATGCATAGAGTTAGCAAACATCAACAACACATGGGAAGAGTAGAGAGGTTGGGGGCTTGAACACGAGCACTCAAAGATTGAGAAGTGGTTTTCTTAGTTGTGAACAAGGTAATCAACTTCCAACCTGATGCTATAATATAGAGTATATGTGACTGTAGTAAAACATACCGAAAGGTAGCCTACCTCGAGTAGTAACATGCCTAGATATGATGTCAGTATAACTGTGTAGAATCTGGAGGTAAGTTAGCAGAAAGTACCTACCTACCTGTTAACACCGCATAGAGGTAGTTACAACTATGCAACAGCAACAAGCACGATCCCGGAACTTCAAAACGCAAGCAGTCTCATCCGGTCTCATTCTCTCCACTCGTCGAGTCCCTATGTCGTGCGACATGACCACTTCGGAACTTTCTTCGAGACATGCCGATGGTGGGTAACACCTTCAAGTTTTGGAGTTGGACTGTACCTACAGCACTGTGTGCCAAGTCTCATAGGCTGACAGCGGTATGTACGTAGCCTTTGCGGCTCGCATTTAGCTAGGTACCTAGCAAAGCAAGTCAGCAGGCAAGATCCGATCCCTACCTTACTTACAGGATTTTGCCTACCCCATGCTTTGCTGTAGCTGCTGCTGCTACATACTTGTCTATGAAGAGTGATATGTAATTTCCGGATGTGCATTTGATGGGGCCACTGTGGCATCCCTCGTTTACTTTTTGTTGCGGACGGGATGCAATGGTTGGGAAGGACCTCAAGGTTTGCCGTGTGAAATATGGTAGCGAGGCTCTTGAAAGTAAAAAAAAAAAAAAAAAAAAGAGAAGGTGCCCATGCCGAGGAAGGGAGCTCAGGGATGGGATGTGAAGGTTGGTCCCGTTGTAGGCAATTTGAAAACGAACTGAGGTGTCATTGTGTGTACGTTTTGACCTCTTCATTGTTTCGCATAATCTCATGTTGGCTTTGTTGGCTTGACCTCACACGGTACAGGAGGCACCTGAGGTTACGTACCTGTTTTCAATGTCAGCTTCGTACCCCTTCATTTTCGTTCCATGTCCTAGACGGATGCCCACAGCTACCCCATACTCATAATGTTGCTTTCGGAATGGGAACACTCCCAAGTTCCTCCCCCGACTTAGGACAAGTTGAGCGTATGCTACACTTATCATAAGGACAAATCAATATCAACCCATATGCCAAGCGCCGATACTATACAGATGAATGTTGGTTTGTTTGTTAGCTCGAGACCTGCGACATCCAAGGGAAAAGACAAGGGATTCTGGTGCCCTCATTGATCCAAACAATCCCAAAATCAGGGTCAAGAACAACAATCGAACGTGTATCGCACACATACACCAGAACTTACTCCATTTACAGCGGGCAATAGCCGACTGGTTGCTGTTCAGGCCAGCAGCCCCGCCTAGTTATCCTGAAAATGGTAAAAGAGTCCCCTGCAAGTGTGTATACCACACTAACGAACAAACCCAGGATGAACTGTGATGGAGTCGAGCAAGGATTGGGCTGGCTTGCTGGATGGACTCATGAGGGTACGGTCGTAGAAAGCCGAAAAGCGAGTTTGTTAAAAGCGGCTTGTTGTCAGCATGTGGTCAGCATCATCGTCAGGAATGGTGCTATTGACGAGGATCAGCTGGTTGAAATCATATGGATCTCAATTTGAACTCTCACGCGGCAACTAGGTGCCGGATAATCAGTTGGACAAGGGATGCCAAGTGAATGAGGAGCTCCCCCAGAAGACGAGGCAGGATCGGGATTAGCGTACACACTGAATTTGGGGGCCGCCAAGCACTGTACGTTATGCCGCTGTGACGGACTGACGGTGGTAGCCTGGTGATGCTGAAAACAACACCACAACATGTAGCACCTAGTGGTTCTGAAGTCATAGTATCAAGTGGCTGTCACTTACCGGTAGGTAGTCTATCGAGGACATTCTTCGTTTGCAATATTTGTGGGGTGATGTGACGTCCTCACCCGGAAGGTCATAAATTGAGTCAAGGAAGAGGATGTTTAAAATGTCACAAGACAACCTTTCTAGACTTCCCAAGGTACCATCCACCGTACCCTTCCTATGCATGGGTCTGTCAGAGCTCGACGTCTGGAAGAAGTGGCTTACTGTCTGGATTTCCACTCTGAAAGTGTGCATTCTAAAGCCACAGTGGCTACTAAGTTAATCAACCTCGAACGACTGATGCCGAAGATCACATCGGACAAGGCTCGACTGTGTAGAGGCATCGCTTTGCTGTTATGAGCAGGGAGCACCGCTAAGATCGCCATAGCGTGGTATTTGACGCAATAACCAACCCTTCGGGTCTTGCTCGCGCACAAAAACATAATCAGGCAGCGAGCTATTGGCCCCCTTTGCCCCTCATCTTCGGATCCGGAATTATTCTGGAAGGTCGTTTTTGTCAATCAAAAGATGCAGGCAACTTCCTCCGCCAACACTATGTAGTGATAACCACACCTGTTGAAAGCGCATCACAGTACAGGTCGGTCTAAGATTTTCTGGACGTGAACACCCTCCTGTAGAACAGACGACTTGGCGGGCATCATTCATTCCCAATGCTGTTAGCTTCCGAATATCCTGTCGATGAGAGCATGGACGTGGGATGGCGCATGATTTCCCTTTCAGGCTTGAGTTCCGGACCAAGCATGAGATGGCCCTAGACCCTGGCAGTGCTCTGCACCCCCTGAAAGAGCCTCTTGCAAAGTCAGTATACTATGTAGATACATACAAACTGAGAAACACATGAAAATAGAGTACTGACCATAGGAATTTATTTTTCTCTCACGACTACGCACGAGACTAGCAACAGACATTGGGTTCTTTCTGTCTTCTCTTCTGGGACAGCGAATGAGACACCATCGATGTGCTGCGCTATGCCATTACATATTCGGGGTCCAAGGGCGGGGCGTGGGGCCCGGAAAGCCGGCCGGTTGTTCCATGCGCTAACTTCATGTTGAAGGCTGTACTGTGTGAGCCGTACTATGGTAACTGTTGGAGGAAATGCTGTCCGACACTGAGCATTGCCGGTTTTGTCCAGTTCCTCACACGATACCCATAACATCACATCTGCTGCGTGCCCTATCATTCGAGCAGAGATGCCAAACGAGTGAATAACCAGAGAAGAGGCTGTCCCGACAACGAGTTGTTGTACGTGCAAGACACCGTTGACTGAAATATCGTCCCGCTGAACTATTTTTAGGATTTCGAATTGAGTGTCTCGATCTCACCGTCGCACTGAATGTGAGGACAGTCTTCGGGGACATGTGTGTAACCGCCCTTGGCCCAATCGAGAACAATGCTATCGAGTGGTTGCGAGCGGCACGCAGTGGCACGGAAATGACAACTCTATTGCTCCCTTGGTACTAAATCAATGTAGACGCAGCCGCCCGAACATAAATTTGGAAGGCTGTCAGGTCCTGCGGCTCAAGATCCTGGTTTCCGACTGGCAATATCTGCATTTGACGGCAGTTAGCCTGTTTGAGAGGCCGCGAGATCCGTATTGTATGCATAAGAGCATTAACTGACGAGAAAGCAACCTTTGGCGGCCCAGGACGCAGGTTCCTTTTCTCAAAGTCTCGGCATGATTTTCATTGGATTGTTGAATGGGAGGTTCACATTTGCTGCTCGGCATGCCTCTCCGTGACAATGGTCCCAGCTCACGGCGTCCCTGCTATACTTGCCGGGTCTCAAGTCCGTTCGATCCTAACTTGCCCATACTAACAGACTTGGGAAAGCTGGTTATGTGCTTCTTGTCGTCTAGCCATTGCACTGAAACGAGTCTGGATACGTGCGAAAGAAGGAAATAACCATGTGGGTCAGATTACTCCTACGCCAGACGTGGAGATAAGCGTGTAGAAGCAATATTATCAGACATGCAATGATTTGCGGGTTGTTGGCAAGCGGTATATACGCAGTGCTTTTCGAGGTTGAGCTTAGAGGTACTCTCGCTCTTCTTTGCGGGGCCTTTGGCAATGCTGAGACCTCGTTCAGCGTATGCTCAGAGAAAGCCATGCGAGACATTGTTGGAATGGAAATGGTACTCACTGCGAGGCTCTCATGCAACATGGCCTTATGGGGTACCGTCAAAGGTGTGTGAGCGTTTCGCCGCAACTGGCCTCGTGAGAATAAAGATCCGGCCTGCATGTCATGGCTTTCAGCTGAGACGGACACATACATGTCTGTATGTACCTCGATAACTGATGGTGTCACCAGTTGGCGCTTTGAACATTTTCTATCATCGTCAAAATAATTCTGTCGAGGATGGAAAGAACTGCAGTGGTATCAGTCGTAGGGGACAGCAAACGCCAGGTTCACCAGGCTGAGGATTGTGGCCTTTGCACGCGGCTACCTCGACCCAGTTGTTGTGAGATCGTTTCGCGGAAATCGAAAAAGCTGAAAATAAACACCAACCGCTTCAATTTTTCTTACTCGTCAGGTCTACAAGTAGCCTCTTCGGTACTGCTCTCCCACCACGACCCATAGCGTGGCGCACTGTGGGGGAAGGGTTGGCGGGAAGTTTGACCGCTAAACCTCATGTAGAATCGTGAGCGAAAGACTTTAGCATCCTAGATACTGCATTTAGTGAAAGTCCTTTTGGACCGAGGTTGTCTACTTCGATTGGACCAAATGGCATGACAGAAACCTCCATATATGTTCACCCTGGAGATCTGGTTTGGGTGATGAAGTATCTGAATGTTTGAAAAGTCAACGGAGTTTGAGTTGTGCGATGTGAGCGTATCGATTTTGTTCCTGCGAGTGGGAATGCCTTGTGTGCAACTCCGTCTGAACGGGTTGAAAGTAGCGAAAGCGGTCCTTGGCGCGCGACCCGGTACACCGAAGCGCCGAGTGCACTCCGAATGTCACGTTAGCTTCGCCGACAGGGTGTTCAGGAGGCTATTAACAACTAGCTTTTGCCCGTTGTTGATTTTCGCTAACTGCCATATTTGCCTCCTCGACGTTCCAAACTCAAAATATGGTAGCTCAGTATAGCATCTCCAACGTAGGACGATGTGCATAGCGATGCCCTGAGATGAGGCTAGGCCTTAGATCTGATTCTAAGACTCGAAAGAGAAGCTGGATGCTCTCTGACTATGGGCCCGCACAGTCGTCTCCGTTCGATGATGAATCGAGCTCCAGCAACACTAGCTACCGGACGGTACTTCACTGTACCAACGGTGCATAGTTTGATCAGACCGTCGCCTGCAGCGGTAGATCCCGGCTTGGAGGAGGCGGAAACTAGAGAAAAGAGGGAGTTAACTTTAGACACCCTCACAATGTTGCCGTTTGCGTAAACCTTCTGAATAAAGTATGGGCATGTAGTAAACTAATATAGTTTACTGTGTCTCTCTGGTGGTGAAGTTGTATGCAGCTATAGCGTTATTTGGTGCACTTGACTGGACTTCGCTGATCCCGGGTTTTCCAAGAGAGACAGACCAACCAGGAATGGAGGCTGCTGTTCCGCGCTGCGGCATTGCTCAGAGCTCGGAATTTGATCCGACTGAACCACGGAAGCCGCAGATCGTCCGTAGTGTACTGCTAAAGTACCGGTTCGCCATGTGAATGGGTGCACCTAAAGCAAAAGTTTATCGTCAAGGACCCATCAGTTGGTGAAGTGAAGAGTTTGTCGCTGGACACCCGCCACTGATATAGTGAGCCCGTCTGGCGACACGGGAGCAGCGACGTCTGTCTCGTTGGGACATCGCGAAGACGGATCAGTGTTTAGTTGGCGCTGTTTAGCTGCAAAGAGATGTTATGTTAGCACAGTCTCCCATGTACACAAGGAATAGGTACGAAAGTTGGCTGACTCGGACATATTCCTAACTTACGCAATACCCCCAAACTGACCGTCAATGGTGACTCGATATATGGCACGAGTTTAGCTTCGTTTAAGAAGCCATGATTGAGGGGAGGGTTCCGAGCATATGTGTTACCTGGTGTTGGCCATGATCAACAGAGATGTAGCGAAAGGTAGGGCGATGCTCCTCGTTTGCCGGGGGAAAAAGGTCGTCTAGGCCAAAGGTGATGGCTCAAACCCTCCATCGGGACGGATGGTGAGGCTGTCAGCGAAGGAAGAGATTCCGGGCAAAATTGTGGTTGTATTCAAGGTAAAAGGTCGGATTTGACAGGTTTTTATGATGTTGGTATCGGTAAACTCGTTTGTGGGTCGCCGACTGTCGTGAAGAGACGGAACCACTGCAACTCCAAGCCGTCACGTTCATCCTGTGAGTGGCAGCGAGTGCTGCAGCCGGCAAATACCTACGACGGGAACACTTCCTTCCATTGCTGCATGGTTGCTCCTTCCCGCGCAACCTACGAACACAACTACTACCTACCTGCTGTAACTGTCCTGCCACCTGGCATGCAGTTGCTGCCCTGAACTGGAACTAAAGTCTCTTCTCCCGTCAATGCTCGAACTCCCAACTCCAAAAGCTTGACTTCACCACCCCAGCAAAATCGCAAAATCACCAACACAATAAGTGCCGACTGGCACCCTAAACACGACTCTGCACATCACGAAACCAGGCTGGCAAGTTACTTGCAGTCAGCACAGTGCATCAACTCATGACTTGCGCTTTTGATGTTCTCATTGGACAGCCATGAGGTCCCTGATGGCCCTAATGGCAAGCGACCATTTAGCGAAGCTTTCCTAGTGGTCCGTCAACGTAGCACCCCATCATGGTCGGCCACATCGCGACTCAAGACTACTTTTGAGGGTGCTTTTGCGCTTAACTAAGCGCCGAAAGAAGATGAACATGTCTCATAGGCGGCTATCCACATTGTCAACCGGAGCAAGACGCCATAGACATGGCTTGGAGATGGGAGACAATAATGCTTACTTATACGTTGTAGTTAGCTCTACGGTTAGGCATCGGGTGTCATACGACTTGGAATTGACTTGGTTCTTGTTTCTCTATCATTTTGTGTATTTCACGAGCTCGTTAGCGGGTGTTGGCCAGCGATTCGAACGAAGCACGGCAATATGGCAGTGGATGGATTTACCATGATGAAGCAGGCCTCAGAGCTGTCAGGTGGTAAGAAAATTCAGGCTTATATACGAACTTGTGGACTTTTACTTACTTACTTTTTAGGAGGATGGAAACCTATCACAATGCAAGCACCCGTCTTGACATCAGTCATCATCCTTACACTCACACTGGCCGGTGCGATCGAATACTTGGCCCAAAAGAGCCAGAAGGAAGGTGGATTGGCACTCTCGGAGTGCTCTGATTGCCATTCTGGGGTTGTGACCTTTGGTTACCTTTATGCACCTACAGTCATTTCTGTTCTTTACAGCTTGTTATGGTCTTGGATAGATCTGGACATACGACGGATTCAGCCATGGCTAGAGGTATCTCGTCCGGAAGGTGCCACAGCGAATTCTTCACTTCTTTTGGACTATCCAAATACGTTTCTTGCCTTCATACCATTCTCGGCGTGGAAAAGGGGGTAGGTCACTTCTGTATGGTGATCTAATTTTCACAAATGGAAGCTAACAACATCGAGCAGACACTGGCCTGTCTTCTTCTCTGGGACTGCTTCTGTGATACTTTTCTGGGCAATCACACCCCTTCAAAGCTCGATTATGGGCATGAAGCCAGTGGCATTTACTAATAATATTACGGTGTCCTCGCACTTAACTCTTCCATCGCCTAATGACCAGGCGATGATGTTGGACACAACGGTTATGCATACAGCCTATGGTATGGCATGGCTCGAGCAAGCCCCCCCGGCGTTCACGACCTCCGACTATGCTGTCATGCCGTTTTCTAGTCAGGCTACGAGTACGCACTACCGACCGGGCGAGAATTTGACCGCCGCCACTGACATGCTCACCACGGAAATAAATTGCTGGCAGCCATTGACAACTAAACTACCGCCGGCAAGCACCTACACGTTCGACAATGGTCATGGCTGCGCTGTCAACGTCAGTTTCTTCCAGGCCCATCCCTATAACAATGACACTTCCATCATCCTCTACATCGGCTATCACGGAAGTCCAATCCTCGACTATTACCTTGAGAGCCCGCTTTGCAGCAAAAATTCAACCAACCAATTCCTCACCATCTTCGCCTCGAGGCACATGGATGAAAAACTCGGCAGCTACGAAACGAACATGACGGCTTTATTTTGCGAAACCTCGTATCACAAACAGCCCGTGTCTGTCACAGTTTCTGCAGAGTCGGGCCGTCCTCTAAATGAGTCATTAGTTCCGATTGGAGTAAAGGAACATCTCACACAGGATGAATTCAATTCCACGGCATTCTCATACCTTACGGGTGTGGGAATGCCTCCTGATACTCCTACCGCCACACGCGACTTTCCAGCGGCTACCACATTTGAGCCCTGGGGTAGTCTTAGCAAAGAGAATGTCGCCGGACCAACGATGCCAATGGTCAATCTTGCCCTAGGCCTCTCAGGCGAGCTCGCATCTGACTTCCAGCATGCTCCGGTTATGGAGCGTGCTTTTACCCTAGCTCATAAAACAGTATTCTCTGCCGCGATCTCACATCTTGCTTCCGAAACCCGAGAGAATAAACAGGCAGACGGTACGAGCAGCTACATTCTAAATGGGGTTGTAGTTAGTAGAACAATCTCGGCTGTTCTCGAGTGTCTGCTGGCCCTGCTCGTCTTTCTCATGGGGGGCGTATTGTACACTTGTATGAAGGCAAAGAGCAACCTCGTATCCGATCCTGCAACGATCGGATTTGCCTTCAGATCCGTGAGAGCCAGCCGAGCTGTCCTCAATAGGCTGGCAATGGAGGATTGCTCCGACAACGGGACACTTCAAAGAAATCTTGCTGGAGAACAATTTTTCCTCGAACAGGGAACAACGGGCAATGTTCTCGAGATGGAATCCAAGGCCGACGACGCTGTCAACATGGCTGACCGAAGGCAGAATGTTCAATATGATCCTGTTCGGCCCAAAGAGTCACACCCTCTGACGGGATGTTTGCTTATTGCTGTACTTCTTGCCGGAGCTGGGGTCCTGATTTACTTTAAGAAGATGGAGCAGAAGTTACAAGGTGATAAACACGTTCGCCCGCATTATACAGAGACGAGCTAACAGACATTCCAGGACTACCACGACCAAGCGAGAATTTCGAAGTTCTACAACTACTAGAGAACTACATTCCGACGGCCCTCACAACACTCTTGGACCCGTTTCTTGTTCTTTTGACAAGATTATTCTGCATGCTGCAACCGTTCAATATCCTGCGCAAAGGAAAATGCAACCCGCAGCACACTCTGGAGACCAAGTACACGTCACTGCCACCTCAGCTGGTCTTGTGGCGGGCCGTACGATCCCGAGACTTCTTACTCAGCACTCTTTGCTTGATGGCTCTTCTTGTTAATGTCCTCACTGTTGCACTTGGTGGTACATTTAATGAGTTGCCGGTGCAGCTTCAGTATCCCACGACCTTTGCGGAAGCTCGAACGACTACTCTCAGCCGTGACACATTACTAGACACCACCTACATGATCCGCTACGTTTACCACGACCACTATTACGCTGCATCCACAAATATTTCTCACAACACCACACTACCGCCTTGGGTCTCGACCAAGTACACATTCCTCCCAGTCAACATAACCTCCGAGTCACCGAGGTCACCAGATTCGTATCGGGCTACACTACGAGGCTTTGGAGTGGAGCCTAAATGTGAAGCCATGGCAACATCGCCTTCTTCAACCTCCGGGTCATTTGCAAACGTCACCCACCTGATCAATGGTTTTACTGTCGAAGGTACTACGTTCAACTTTCGCCGCGATGATGGCACCTGGCAAACGTGCGAACCCACAGACCTTAATGTGGGATCCAACACTACGGGACTGGGCGCTCGAGAAGTCATCACTCCACTCACAATCCCAACGGATCAGAGTGGCAGCGCAGCCTCTCAAGACCACATTTGTGAGGACCGCTTTGTGGCTGGCTGGATCCGCATGGACACCAAAGACCCAGCGAATACATTCCGATCAACCTTCCTGTCATGTCAGGCAGTACTCCGTACAGCCACGTTTGACGTCGATTTCGATAAGGCGGGGCATATTCTTGCCTACACGCAGAGAGGAGACTTTGACGATATCACATCCTTAATGTCTCGAAACATGTCCCAGAGGCTGATTAGGCAGGCAAACAAGCTCGTCAACAACAGTGGAAGGCCCTTTGCGATCTATGCATGGCACAACACGACTCTGGTCTCTGACTGGTGGAACTATCTCATGAAGATGTACCTCAACAGCACTGATCTGGTTGATCCCAGCTTGGATATCCCCAAGCCTGAAGCCGTGATTCCCACTGTGGAGGACTTGTATCGGAGATTGTTCGCGATCGTACTCGGGAAAAACCTCGACTTATTCGAAGAGCCAGCCAAGCCAACGGACGTGCCTGGCATCGCCATCATTACTGAGACGCGCATCTTCTTAGACGACAAAGCATATCTCTTGAGCGTTATCATTCTCTGCGCCAACGCAGCTGTTTTGATGTGGGCCTACCTCGCACAGAGCGATGCGTATTTGCCCCGCTTGCCGTCGACACTGGGATCTGTGCTTGCATACGGGGCAGCTAGTCGAGCAATCAGAGAATACGGAGATGGTATCAATACCGACCAGGAGATATGGCATAATGAGGACTTTTATGGGACGTACTCGTTTGGGAAGTACGTAGGCGTCGATGGTAACGCTCATGTTGGCATTGAGATGGATCCCTTTGTAACACCAATTAACGGAACCATGCTAAAGCGCCGAGCATCTGCGAGGTTATGGTTTAGGAAGAAGGAGCAAGAGCCACATGACTGATTCCTTTTTTTATTTCCTTCTTTCTTTCTTTTTTCCTTCTTTCTTTTCCCTTTTTTTCTTTTAGGGGGGGGGGGGGGGGGGGGTGTTGAGCATCATTTTCCGTTTTTCTTTGAATTGTTAGACATCGTTTTTGTTACCCAAAACAGCGTCAGGTCTTCAAACCAACCCGCAATGATACGTTCTCGAGATTGCGTTTCAATAGTATCTCTAACTGATGGGTGATGGATTGGGATGTTCCCTCCCCAGATATCTCTAGCCTCGTGAAATCGTCGAAAGAACTCACACGGCAGCAGCTACCGTAGCGGGTCTATCAGGATCGCAGTCTGTAAGTGATGGTAGAAGGTTAGCAACGTACGTGAAAGTGGCCCTCAATGAGTTCTGGGCTCACACCTCCACAGGCATACCGCCTCACCCATCGCATCCCTCCAATCCCCCCTTCTCTTTAAACCTCAGCTACACCATACTCACTCACCTGCAAAGATATGATCGCCCCTCGTCCACAACTTCAGCTTATCCCTCTTAAACTCCTCAAAATCCCACTCCTTCTGCTCCAGATGTTGCTCGAGCAGGAACACGTAAACCTGCGCCTCCCTCTCCTCCCCTTCGACGTTGCCCTCACCATGCACGTCGCCCACCTTTTCTAGCAGCTTCACTTTCACCGTCCGGCGCTCATATTCAGCTCCCTCAAAGTAATCCAGCTTGTCCAGGTTTGCCTTGGTCAACCCCTCCGCGAACATACCAAACACGGTGTGCTCGGCGTCTTCGGTGATACCGGGGTAGTCAGCGAACTTAACGCGGCGGCGGATGTAGCCGTGAAGGATGGCGGGCGTGAACTTGTGCTGGCGGGCGATGATGTCGGGCACAGTTTTGTTGTTGTAGCAGACTGTGTTGAAGACTTCGGGGACCATGAGGGTTCCTGGTATACTGGTTAAATCATGGCAGTATGTCTAAGGTCACATTTGGAATTTAGACGTCGAGACGAATGGTGCTATCCGATAGTGACTCACCGTAGAAGAAGGCGCAATGCACCGGGTCATCGCTTTGAGCAGATGCCTGTTCTTGGTTCGCCATTTTGGAGGAGCTGATATTTTTTGGTGGTGAATATCAGCTGTTTTGTGTTTTCAACGAAACGATTTACATGGAATGATTAAAGAGCGAGATGGCTGTAGTGATAAAAGAAGTCAGACACTGACGATAACGGTGAGGTAATTGCTCATATAACCGACCTTTGCCCCCCACTCAACACAAAAAGTTCAACAAGAGACTACTTACCACGTGTGATTCTTACAGATGGTGATGTTTTTATTTTGAGAAGAAACTCACTTGCGCCGGTTGACCAGATGTTTCCTACGTCTAACTTGGAATGACTGGAGCCAGAAGTTCGCCGATTCACGTCGCCAGTTAATGTTATTAGCAAACTATGTCCGTCGTGCATCCACTTTGCAATACGATTCCAAAAGTTAGAGGATGAAATGGACTGTTTGACGATCCGAGAACCTCGTTCAAGGCCTCAGTGGGTTCATAGAGGAGGAATGGTGTTGACAGCCGAGGCCGATAACAGATTCAAAGGAGAAGAGCAGGCCTGGAGGGGTAATGGAAGTTGGTTCCGGTTCGGAGCCCGGACAGATGGTAACATGTGCACGGACCAGGCTCGCCAGGTACCTCACCCCGCAGTCTCATCCCCTGATGGTGCCAACCCGATAACGTGCCACGGGCCCGGGCGCAGCGTCGTACAGGCAGTTTCCCACTTCCGCCGCAATATGGACCTCTTCAAAATTATCACCACCTATTATAATCCAAGCCAACCTCATTGTCAAAAATTCGCATATCTCAATTAATAGAGCCGAAACTGAGAGTCTCAGTTGGGGATATGGCGCGAAATCCGGCATCGTAAATCTCTTCAAACACAGCCTCACATAAAACTCCTAGAAAACATCAGCACTATAGCAAAGCGCTTCGAACGAGCCCAACCGATGTCTGGCTAAATGGATACGGATACGCAATGATCTCTCACAACTCCCGCCGAGTCGGCCCCGATTATTACGCGCCGTGTCGAAGCGTAGACTTATTCGCTCATTAGCCACTCGCAGGCTCTTACGTTCCTTTCTTTCAGTGCGGGAGGTACCACTCCTCCCACCACTCCACACTACAGTAGTGTAATACCCCGAGCCACCCATCAATCGTGACCTCTTAAGGTCCCTCACAAATAAACGCAATGATCCTACTGTCACACACTTGGTCACCCTATTTAGACCCGCGGCTTCGCAGGTACCTCTGCCGGCACCAAACTTGTTAGCGCGGTGGTTTGTAAGTAGCAAGAGCTCGGAGTTCGTACAGAAGATGACTCGTTTAATGACCTTTAGAGCTCTGAATTCTGTCAAGTGGCAGTACCGCGGCCACGCGTGGATCGGGGAGCATGCACCGGAAGAAGAAGAACACACACACACACACACACACACACACACACACACACACACACAAACCTAGCTGTGAAATAAGGAGCGGAATCTGTAAATGGTGACTGCCAAAGCGACGGGTTGGTCGCCATGCAGCAAGATATTGATGAGGGTGTGGATGAGATGGCGAGCTCGTTGAATATATGTGAGATGGTAAGAGTTTGCACTTACATGTGCACTAGAGACCGCTCACAGTCAATTCCAACGGGGACATAATGGAATGGCTTTCGCTCGTGGGATGTTGAATTCCACTTGGTCTAGGCACGCCCGTTCGAGTGACCGTGCTGTGGTGTTTAGTGTACGCCATCGATGAAACCAGTCCCTGTTGTTGTTTCATCCTTGAGGCATCCATGGACCAGTCAACAGCTCAGGGGCGCCCTGATCCGGAGCATCGGCGTACGATGCCCTGTATCTGACAGGGACAGCGATGCTACAGCAGCCACACGGCGAGGTACGTACCGTTCCCGACCATCCAATGTTGTACTGCAATTCTGGGGATACAAGGGTGGTAGGCAGCCAAGGGTCTCGCCAGCAATACGGAACTTGACAGCTTCCATTGACAACGGATGTTACTACACAAAAATGGTCACATCGAATATCACTCTTCATTGGGCGTATTGCAGCTTTGGTCATTTTCTCTTGCCGAGAAAAGACTGTAGAAGGAATGGCGACCTGACTTCCCATGTAAATGCCATTGTGCGACCCCTTTTAGCTGATTACGCACATCTTTGGATCGGCACGATTGGTTTTCACGGTGGAATAATGGACGGCGCATATACCACTGAGGGATAAAATGTAGCAGAAGCTTGCAGGTCTCCCGCACTGGCTGTGATGGATGACTGGTGAGGGAGGCGGAATGCTTTCAGCCTCTAGTAAAACCTGGAATGGCTTTGCGGCACGTTACACATATCTCGCATCTCGGCTGTAACGAAGCCGGTTGGTTCGCTCCCGGAAATAGGAAAGAAAGACTAGTACTGATTCGATTTGATAGCCTTCATCTTTCTTGGGTATATCGGAGATTTGGTAACTACGTTCCATCCACACAATATCTGCTTCCAGATGCATACTACCTTACCTCAAGTTTTTGCAGGCTGTCAAGTGGGAGTTCGAGCAACGGGGAACCCCTGATCCTCTGAAACCCCTGCCACGCTGTCCTTGGCAGGAACCCGATAACCACGTCCAGTCATCGATCATCAGTCACCACCACCTCAGTTTATTCATTCCCAGTCCTACCACCTTATGCCTGGAACCCCGCATCTTGGGGCTCCTGAATGTTTCAATATTCATCACTTGTTCTCTTGTTATTAAGTCTATCATGGTCTTTTATCATGCACTGGCAACTACTGCAACTTTTCCCTGCGACTCTAGCGCCGTTGGGCTTCAAGTCGTGGGTCTTAACTCAGGTGGGTGTTGGCCGGTTGAGAGTGCCCGAGCTTCTGCACTTTGCCGCTCTGCAAGGATACTCTGCCAAGAGAAAGACAGGCCGCAATTCTGGTCACCTCCAGTCAGCAAGTGACATTTGAGTACCGCGTCCATGGAAGCGCAACCTAGAAGGCCTCATTGGGAGCCCTAGGGTAACGGCCAGTCGGATTCGACAACATCCACCGTAGGTAATGTGGGATGCCTCCTTGCTGACCGCTCACTGAGCTCAAACGGAGATAGTAAACGCCGTCATTTTTGGGTTTCAGGGGATCCGTTGCCATCGGGAATAACCAAGCAGGGATTGGGATTATCCGGACCTCGTCCTACAAGTGCCATGATTGCCATTTACGCAGTAGGTAGAATACTTACTTTCACACTCTCAGTGTGGGACTCTAAAGGCCTCTTTTGAGCGTCTTGACGAATCCCCACGGGAAGTTGACGTTTCAGACAACAGACTCTTTCTGCCGTTTGCCTGTCCGTGCCACGCCATAGATATCTCACTACAGGCTGTCCAGAGCAGCAAATGCCCTCCTCCCTCCTTGACAGTATCACGTTTTCCATGCATCCCCCCAACAGCATGTCTGGAAGCTTGCGGCTCTAATCGAACCATTTGAGGTGGATCGTCTCCAGTATCAAGAAGCCCCGAAGCTTGACGCCTATCCAATGCGTTTGAAACAAACCATCACAGCCTATCATCAACCTAAACTGGGTTTCTAGACTAGTAAGTAATGTCTTTGGCCCACGTGCGTCATTCCCCCGTGCTTTACAGAACGAGAGGCTAAAGGTGTTTACTGACCCTGACTGGTCAATACTTGCCATCCAGCTTAGATGATGCCCATCCTCCAAGTGGACCACTGTGTTTCCTCCCCATCAGAGTGGTGCTCTCCTACCCAATAGTTCGCTAGTCACTTCTGTTCCTGCAGAAGTTCCCAAAACTCTATCCCTGTTTGCGAACAACTGAGAGCCTTGCATTTCTCTATCTCCGCTGCTACTCTGCTGTACTTCCATTCATTTATAAGACTTCCCTGGCCAAGGCCCATTGTCGTCCGCTTCTCTTCAACAGCAACCATCTCTTGGTGACTCGGCCTTCCTTACCTCTTCCCTACGAGGCTTCTACTGTTATCATCTTGTTGTCTTATGTTCTGCCTGGTGCATTACCCTCTTTCATTACTAGACAACTATTCCGGCTTTCAAGCGTTCTCTCCCGAGCACAAGCCAACGACACTGTCTCCTTGACACTTGACGCAATACGATTATTCCCAAAAGAAACTCTCACACGAGTCTACCTCTCCCTACGGATCCTTGAAGTTACTCGTCTGGAACGAATAGCCTCAGTTCCCAACCATGCTCTTCACACAAGCTCTCGTCGCCACTGGCGGCTTCGCCGTGCTTTCACAAGCTCATATGCTGATGAACACTCCGAAGCCATTCGCATCCCCACAGCTGCTGAATGGACCTCTGGACCCAAGTGGCAACAACTTTCCTTGCCAGGCCGGCTCCGGGGCTGTCTACTCCGGCACTCCCAGCTCCATGGCTTTGGGCTCGAGTCAGCCCTTGGCCTTCACTGGCTCGGCAGTCCACGGAGGAGGCTCGTGCCAGGTTTCCATCACCTACGACACCAACCCAACCAAGGAAAGTGTGTGGAAGGTTATCCATTCCATTGAAGGTGGCTGCCCTGCGAAGAATACTCCTGGAAACCTGCCTGAAAACGCCAATCTCGCTGATCCATTCGATTATTCTTTCCCCATTCCCGACAATATCCCAACCGGCAACGCCACCATTGCTTGGACCTGGTTCAACAGAGTTGGCAACCGCGAGTTTTATATGAACTGCGCGCCCGTCGTCCTCACTGGCAACGGCGGCTCTAAGTCCAACTGGGAGTCGCTGCCAAACATGCTCGTGGCTAACATCCCTTCCATCAACACCTGCAAGACGGTGGAAAACCACGATTACAAGTTCCCCAATCCCGGAAAATCGGTCGATGTTTTCGGCTCGGATTTTGATAATGGTTTCACAGGAGACTGCGGGGGCTCTACCACTGGTGGCGGTTCCGGTGGCGGCTCCAACGGTGGCTCCGGCGGTGGCTCTGGATCGTCTCCCTCACCATCCACCACTGCTCCGGCTGCTGCTCCCACTAATGCTCCTGGTGGAGGTGGAGGTGGAGGTGGAATCTTTATCACAGCCCCGGTTCCTGATTCTCCCACCACTTCTGCTCCTGCTCCTCCTGCTCAAACCGGCGGCGGCTCTTCCGGTGGTGGATCCGGCTCTGGCTCTGGCTCTGGCTCTGGCTCTGGCTCTGGCTCTGGTGGCTCTGGCTCCGGTGGCTCGGGCAGCTCCGGTGCTGGATCTGCTTGCAGCACTGATGGCATGTGGAACTGTGTTGATGGAAAGTCATACCAGCAGTGCGCTGCCGGCGTCTGGACGCCCGTCATGCCACTTGCTGCTGGCACCGTTTGCGATGTCGGCCAGTCTACTTCTCTCAACATCAAGGCTGCCGGCAAGAAGATGAGGCGCCTTGCCGTTCGTTTCCGGGGTTAAAGCGTCAAACTCCATCACTCATTCAAACATAACCAACACTTTCTTTCTCTTCGTTCATTACACACATCTTTGGGATCTTTTTTGGGGACTCTTGCATTGGATAAAGCAACACATTAGCAATACCCGGCGGCGCATTTTGTTTAAAAGCCTTTGTTTTCTTGTCACAAACAGCTTGTAGTATTATCATGTACATTCTCTAGAACACTAGAATAAACAGAATTTGGACATACCCATAATACTGACCCTGAGCTTTATGTGACCACATAGATCTGAAGAAAAAAATCAGATTCGTGTGGGAACAATAACGTGATAGGCCTTGAATTCTTGAACCAGACTTCTAACAAACGCAAAGAATCAATAACTCATGAGCGTGCTAGAGGAGTTCCAAAGCTAATAAATGAAGAGTGCAACGCGCCCCATATCTTTTCTTATGTCTCCTTTTTGCTCGAACATCGCGCAGATGGTGGCCCTGAAAAAGCGTCGATCGTAAACGGCAGTGGACCAGTCTTGGCATTTCGTGTAAGTGATAAGATAAGCCCACTCGATAAGATCAGATCGACAGCACATCAGCCGCTTGTACAAGGGACCGGCTTGCCTGCCGAGAACTCAAGCTTTGAGGTTGACCAATCAGAAAGATGCAGATTTCGGAACAATATTTAAACGGATGCCTAGCGCCGTTGGATTTGGCAACCGGACGCCCCAGCTTCGCGTTCCCTGGGATTTTTCGATTTGCGACCGCGCCGGTTTGCCGCCCCAGGTTGCACTTTCCACTGGAGAGCAACTGTCGCAACCTTCTGACAGCGGCGCATTTTTCCCCTTGAGATGCAATTCACTTGATACCCCATCAACTACTTTTGTTTTATTCCAAACTCTCACTGCCATATTGCGCTACCTACGATAACTATTCATTTGCCATACCCCGTCCTCCGCACTTGGATGATAATAACGACGATTTCCTTCTGCTATGGCGTCATAAGTGAGTGTTGATTTCAGTTACTTCTCACGAGCGACGAGGCCATGTTTCCACTCGCTCCATCTCCAGCCTGATGGATCGAGCCTTCCCACATACCGACCGCATCGTTACCCCTCTACCTACCTACCTACCTACCTATCGACCTCTACCGGGACCTTCGATCATCAATGGCTTCATGCCGGTGTTTACTACCCGACCTTACGGAACCTGCATCTATCATCTCCTGCCTGCCTTTCAACAGCTCATCTGCACCTGCTGGTGGATCGCCCGTTCCGTACAGGTACCTACCTGGCCTTTGTATGCCTGGGTGGATCGAGCATACCCCCTTCCCGTATTTTGCGACATTCTGCCGCCGACAAACCGTGATGCTTGGTTATACCTCCCGCCTGTCCCGTCACCTCAGCCTTGTCGACCCGGTCCGACATGCGACCTGGAGCTCATCGTAACTAACTTGTGTAGGCTGAACATAGCTATCCTTTCTCCCCTTCCTCCATGCCAATAGAGCTTTACCGACAGCTTTTCTACTACTGCCCGAGGTGAACGCCGCCAGCCATGGCGAACCTAATTGACGATGTCATCAGGAAGCTGTGCACTCCAGAAATTGGTACGTTTACTTACCCTTCCCATCCTTCTGGTGCTTCGTGAGTCAGTGCTGACACCGAGTGCATTCTTACAGAGCTTCGGCTCAAGGTCGAAGCCGCGATCAACTTGCGCGACAGCCTCGACCACTATGTGACCGGTCCAGCATACTCTCCGTTCCTCAAGCGCGTGATACCTCCCTTCATCATGATTTTGCGACAACCACCAGTGTTTCAGAGCAAGACGATGGACCAAGTCAACATGCAGAAGCTGCGAAACTGCATCCTCGAGATTCTTCATCGCCTCCCTACCTCGAACACGTCGCCCGAGCCCTTCGAACCCTTCGCCGAAGAAGTTGTAGATCTGCTCATGGGTCTTGTGCGAGAAGACAATGAAGACAACGCCGTTCTCTGCGTCAAGATCATATCCGAAATCATGCGCCACCAACACAAAGTCCTGGGTTCCAAAGTCCAGCCCTTCCTGAACCTGATACAGGAGCTATTCGAACAGATGGCATTGGTGGTAAAGGAACAGCTTGACGATACATCCACGTCGGTGGTCGGTCCCTCAGGCGCCCCCTCAACCCCCGGTAGCACCCAAACGAGCTTCATGCCACACCAACAATCCCCGAGACCAGGCTCTCCTGTCGCCCCTGGCGCCGCCGACTTCAGCGCAGATGCTGGACAACAATCTGGTCGGCCCTTGCTGAAGGGCATGCAATCCTTCAGGGTGCTGTCCGAGTGTCCCATTATTGTTGTGTCTATCTTCCAGGTCTATCGCAATAGTGTGACAGCCAATGTCAAGCTTTTCGTTCCCCTCATTAAGTCGGTACTGCTTTGCCAGGCAAAAGCGCAGGAAAAAGCTCATCTGGACGCTGCAGCTAGAGGGACCATCCATACCGGCGTCAGCCCCAATATCAAGAATCGGGTGGCGTATGGGGAGTTCATTACCGCCCAGGTGAAGACCATGAGTTTCTTGGCTTACCTTCTGAGATCATACTCCAATCAGTTGTCGGATTTTCTCCTGGTGTTGCCAGAGATCATAGTGAGGCTTTTGAAGGACTGTCCGCGAGAGAAGTCAGGCGCGCGGAAGGAGCTGCTCGTCGCTATTCGCCACATTATCAACTTTAACTTCCGGAAAATCTTCTTGCCCAAGATCGACGAGCTGCTGGATGAGCGCACCCTGATAGGCGACGGTTTGACGGTATACGAGACCATGAGACCGTTGGCGTACAGCATGTTGGCCGACCTTATTCATCACGTAAGGGACAGTCTTACTCCTGATCAGATTCGCAAGACAGTCGAGGTGTATACGCGAAACCTACAAGACAACTTCCCCGGCACCAGTTTTCAAACCATGAGCGCAAAACTTTTACTTAATATGGCGGAATGTATTGCCCGCTTGCCGAACAAGGTCGATGCACGGCATTATCTAATGATGATTCTCAATGCCATTGCCGACAAGTTCGCTGCCATGAACAAGCAGTACGCAAATGCGGTCAAACTTTCAAAGCTGTACGCCCAGCAAGCTGCCGACAACACGCCCGAGACGTATTTGGCTGACAAGGAGCACCCCCCGCAGTGGGACGAAATCGACATCTTCTCCGCAATGCCCATCAAAACCTCTAACCCTCGGGATCGTGCTGCCGATCCGGTCGTCGACAACAAGTTTCTGTTCAAGAACCTCATGACCGGCTTGAAGAACACTTTCTATCAGTTGAAGAGCTGCAATCCGACTACCGTGCCAGATCTGGCTAATGCACCCGCACACTGGGTTGATGTTGCTTACGGCTTCACTGCTGAGGAGGTTGAAGTTATCGTCAAGCTTTTCCGAGAAGGTTGCTACGTGTTCCGGTATTACGATAGCGAAAAGCCTGCAGCCGAGTCACCCTTTACTTCCACAGTCGAATACATGGCAAACTTCTTCATGGTTTCCCTCACAAAGGAGGAAAAGGACCTCCTTGAGACCTTCGCTACGGTATTCCATGTTGTAGACCCTGCGACCTTCCACGAAGTCTTTCAGCAAGAGATCCCACGATTGTACGACATGATCCACGAGCACACTGCGCTTCTTCAAATCCCCCAATTTTTCCTGGCGAGCGAAGCGACATCGCCCAGCTTTTGCGGAATGCTTCTGCGCTTTCTGATGGAGCGGATCGAGGATGTGGGCTCCGCCGATGTGAAGAAGTCGGCCATCCTCCTGCGTTTGTTTAAGTTGGCATTCATGGCGGTTACTTTGTTTGCGGCCCAGAACGAGCAGGTTCTGCTTCCGCATGTGGTTGACATCATCACCAAGTCTATTGAACTCTCGACAAAGGCAGAGGAACCGATGAACTACTTCCTTCTGCTTAGATCTCTGTTTAGGAGTATTGGTGGTGGCAAGTTCGAGCACCTTTACAAGCAGATCTTGCCTCTGCTGGAGATGCTCCTGGACGTTCTAAACAATCTACTCCTAGCGGCTCGCAAGCCGACAGAGCGAGATCTCTATGTCGAGCTTTGTCTCACAGTCCCAGCACGCTTGAGCAATCTTCTTCCCCACCTCAGCTACCTTATGAGGCCTCTTGTGGTGGCTTTGCGCGCCGGGACCGAGCTGGTTGGTCAAGGCCTGCGTACTCTGGAACTCTGTGTTGATAACTTGACCGCGGACTATTTGGATCCAATTATGGCACCGGTCATTGACGAGCTGATGGCTGCCCTCTTCGACCATCTCAAGCCACACCCCTACAACCATTTCCATGCACACACGACTTTACGAATTCTTGGCAAGCTAGGTGGCCGAAACAGGAAATTTATGACGGACGCTCTTCCTGTGAAATATCGCCAGTTTGCCGATGATGTGGCCAGCTTCGACATACGTCTGATTGGCTCAAAGATTGACAGAGCATTCCCAGCACATTATGGCGTCGATCTGGCAATCCAAAAGTTGATGGAGGTGCCGCGGTTCATGAAGGGAGTGTCGGCTGCACCTACCAAGCAGCAGGACGCCTACTACAAGAGGCAAGCGCTCCATTTCATCAAGACCCAGGTGAAACTGCGGGTGGGATTTGACAATCTGCCTGAAGATCTCCCTCGCCTTCTTCGACTCCAAGCACAGGATCTTATCAACAGGAGAAAGGATATCGATATCTCCGCCTTTGAAGGTTCTGACCGTGATCGCTCCATCGCCAAGAAGAACGAGGATGAGGGAGAGCTGAAGAGGCTGATCAAAGCGCTCATGTTTGCACTCTCGTTACCAGAGTTCAAGCCTGAGGTTGATGAATTCCTCTTGAACCTCGCCCGGCATTTTACCATTATCGAGGTGGGCCGTGCATGGGTTGACTCGAAGAGGTCCATCACCCCTTTCAATGTCGATTCGGGGGCTGGTCCACTCTTTGTTGACACGCGAATTCTGTCGGATGCCCTCCTAGAGTCACTCGCTTCCGAGAAACCAGAGGTACGAGAAGGCGCTGAGCGGGTCATTCAAGAGGTCTATGATTCCGCGGCCACCATCTTTGGGTCCTCAAGCCATGTCTCAAGGCTTGCCTACTTTAATAGCTTGGCGAACACTTTCTGTCACGGTTGTTACGAGGAGGAATGGTTCACCAAAGCCGGCGGTACCTTGGGTATCAAGATCCTGCTGACGAACGTCGACCTCGGCGACTCTTGGGTTGCTACCAAGCAGATCGAGTTTGTCAGAGCGCTGATGTATGTCATCAAAGACATGCCCCAAGATCTCCCCGAGAAAACTAGACGATCCGCACAGGTGACGCTCGAGATCCTTTTGCAGCGTCTTACCAAGAATGCCAAGAAAGAGGATTGCTTGCCTGCGCAGCCAGCACCTCAGCAGCCGGGACAACCGCAGCCTCAGAAGCAGTCTCGTCTTGCTCAAATCTGCATGATGCTCAACGGCGAATTGTCTCATATGAACAGACACGTCCGCAGCACTGCCAAGAGGTCTATTGAGCTGATCGCGAAAGCAACAGGGGCCGAAGTCTGGGAGCTCCTTGAACCCCACCGGAAGCAGCTTCTCCAGCCCATTTTCGCCAAACCTCTGCGTGCTTTGGCATTTGGTATTCAGATCGGCTTCATTGATGCCGTTACGTACTATATGTCCTTGAAGCCTGACTTTGTCACATTCGACGAGCACCTGCATAGGTTGCTTATGGAGTCACTTGCACTTGCTGACGCTTCGGACGAGTCTCTAGCCGGTAAGAATCAGGAGTTCAGAACCCGGGAGCACATCGTCAATCTTCGCGTGTCGTGCATCAAGCTTCTCAGCACAGCCATGGGCTTTGAGGAGTTCATGAAAGGATCTGGCAATGCTACGCGTGCCAAGATTGTCGGGGTGTTCTTCAAGTGCCTTTACTCGGAGCAAGCACCGACTATTGAAGCAGCGAACGACGCTTTAAAATCGGTTCTGTCACATACCAGTAAGCTGCCTAAAGATCTCTTGCAGTCGGGCCTCAGGCCGGTTTTACAGAGTCTTTCGGATGCCAAACGCCTCACCGCCCACAGCTTGGAAAATTTGGCTCGGCTGCTGCGACTTTTGACCACATACTTTAAGGTGGAGATAGGTGCTCGCTTGCTGGACCATATCAAAGTCATCGCAGACCCCAACCTTCTCCAACAGATATCGTTCACTTTCTTTGAACAGCACGCCTCAATCAAGGTCATTGCGTCGGTCTTCAACATATTTCACCTGCTCCCCGATGGGGCTAAGCAATTCAAAGAGCGTGTCATCGAGAGCGTTTTGGAGCTGGAGGAAAAGCTAAGGCGGACTCACCACAGCCCCTTCCGCAAACCCCTCTACAAGTATCTAAACCGATATCCTCCTGATATCTGGGAGTTTACATTCAGCAGGATTGATCAGCTAAGGTACGGCCGTTTCCTGGCCCAGGCATTGCGGGATCCTGAAAGCCAACCACTTAGGGACCACGGTGTCGCAAACGTGGAGGCTCTTGTCAAGGCCTGTAGCGACGTTGTCAACCAGAATAAGGAGACCAAGTTTGCTGCTATTGTCAACACAATCAACATCCTCGAAGCCCTATGCCAAAACTCCAACTCGCTAGTTTGGATGGAGAATAGAGAGCACATTGAGTGGCTAAAGACAGTTGGCAAGGAGCTTGAGCAAAACCTCAAGATGAACAAGCTCCCCGCAAATGTTCGCCTTGCTGCGGATCAGGCATCCGAACAGCTCATGGTCATCTTGACCAAATCCCTAGAGCGCAATCCGAAGGACATCGAACCCCTTCTCAGTCTCATTGAGTCGATCACTTCAGATGATTTCCGAGAGACGCAGACCATGCTCTCCTATCTCTACAAGAATATCATATCTAGCGACTCTATTGATTTCTGGCGTACAACCGTACTTCGCTGTCTGGAGATATATGCTGGAAGGGGTGCCAGTCAACGCATGAAGTGGTATCTGCTGCACAATATCGTCAACCCCATTGTAGCGATGGATGTAATGCGTCACTGGAATCGTGGTGAACCGGCCAAGGGTGGTCAACGGTTCCTTGATCGGGCGGTTATTGAGTCCATTAACACCAAGATTTGGAAGGTGAACCTGGCGGATCCTCACGACGATCTTTCGCAGCCGCATATTGACCACACCAGAATGGAAGTGCTCCAGCTCTCGGCCATGCTGGTCAAGTATCACCACGCCATACTGCAAGATGCGCGCAAGGACTTCATTAAGTTTGGGTGGACGTACATCAGGCTTGACGACGTTATCAACAAGCACGCTGCTTATGTGGTGATTGGGTACTTCATTGCTCACTACGAAACTCCTGCCAAGATCGTGTCGCAGATCTACTTCTCGCTCCTCAAGACCAACCAGAATGAAGGCAGGACCTTGGTCACGCAAGCCCTTGAGCTGATGGCGCCCGTGATGCCCAAGAGATGCAATACCGCGCCTGGCGACCGGAATGCAGTGTGGGCTGTTGCGCCTCGTCGAATCTTGGCGGAAGAAAGTCAAAACGTCCAGCAGATGACTAGCATCTTCCACTTCCTCGTCAGGCATCCGGACTTGTTTTATGACTCCCGCGACAAATTCGCCATGCTCATTATTACCTGCCTTCGCAAGGTCGCCGCGCCTCCCAATCCGTCTAACGAGAGTAAGAAGCTGGTGCTGAACATGATGACGCTGATTTGGCAATGGGAGCAGCGTCGTGTCGAAGGCAAGCGGTCAGAACCTGTTCGCTCTGTCTCTGAGTCTCCCAATGCCAAGAAGAGAAAACTCGACGAGCAGCAGTCCGTTTCGCCGGCCTCTGCCAGACAAAGCGAGAGACCCGAATTCGAAATCCCGGCTATGGGCCGCCAGAAGATGATCAAGTATCTGGTGGAGTTCATCGCTCAGTTGAACGAGCGTTATCAGCTCCCTTCAGCGAAGGCGCGGGACACACCCGCCACGGCTGTCCCGGCTCTGGCGGCGCCTTCTGGTGAACTCTGCAAGAAGGCGATGGCACTTCTCTACAACCTTCTTCAGCCGCAATATTGGGGTGATCTTGATCTGGACCTTTTCCAAAACGTCACTGATATTGTCCTGACCAGCGAGAAGGCCTCCCTCACATTGTCCAATGAGCCGTCCGACAAGGAGAAGGCCGATGACAAGTTCCTTACCAACATTATCAACACCCTTCAGGTCATCCGCATCATTCTTCACTTCAAGTCCGACGACTGGGTTGTCAAGAATATGAGTCACATCCAAAAGATTTTGGAGAAGTGCCTGAAATCAGACAACCCAGAGATTCAGGACTGCCTCCACACGGCTGATAAGCAATGTGATGGTGGCCGAGAGGTCCGACCGATCATCAAGCGAATCCTCGACGCGGTCCCAGAAGATGTGCCCATGGAGGATGCTGATGCTGAAGGCGAAACGGAAGCGCCAACTTCGGAGGTTGTCACGTTCCTGTCCGGCATTGCCACGGAGAGTATGGCTGCGGCAAATTACGTTTCCGGTATCAACATTTTATGGTCCTTGGGTCGCCGCCGTCCTACAGCTATCGACCAGCATATTCCTGCAATCATGAAGTCGCTTCAGTCCAAGTTGGCTAGAGACCACGTCTCCCACTATGCGGCGTTGGCACAGGGTGGCATCCCCCGACCACAGCCAGACAATGCCAATGCTGCAACCGAAATGAACGCCTACGACCTTGAGATACAGACTGGGCTGATCATCAAGGCCATTGAGACTGTTTCCCTTCGTATGGACATTCTCGGGGACAACCGGAGACCTTTCCTGAGCGTGCTCGCCACTATTGTGGAAAAGTCACTGCACACCGCTCTATGTGAAAAGATCCTTGACATGGTTGAGGGATGGGTATTCCGCTCTGAGGGAACGTGGCCAACTCTGAAGGAAAAGACGGCCGTTCTTTCCAAGATGATCACGTTTGAGCACAGGCAAGATCCAACCATGCTCATGAAGTTCCTCAACCTTGTTCTACGCATTTATGAGGACCCCAAAATCACACGGACTGAACTCACCGTGCGTATGGAGCATGCGTTCCTTATAGGAACGAGAGCTCAGGATGTGGATATGCGCACCCGCTTCATGGCCATCTTCGATAAGAGTCTCTCCAGGACTGCCAGTGCTAGGTTGGCATATGTTATCTTGTCTCAGAACTGGGACACGCTAGCCGATTCATTCTGGCTGGCGCAGGCAATCCAGCTTCTTTTCGGAGGAGTGGATATGAATCTTCCCATTCAGCTACACCAGGACGATTTCCGTACCTTGTCAGCCTCTCAACTCATTGGAAGCTATGCCAAAGATACCAGAGAACCAGCCTTGATCAGCGATGATAAATACGAGGCGTTCATGGCTAGCCATCGCCGCTTTATTGCCGAGCTTGGGGACATCAAGGCGCGAGACATCCTTGAGCCTTTGACCCAGCTGCAACATATTGATAACAATCTGTCCAATGATATCTGGGTTGTTCTTTTCCCAATGTTCTGGTCCGCGACTTTGAAGGAGGATAGACCTGAGCTTCAGCGTGGCCTTGTCACCCTTCTCACCAAGGATTACCATTCTAGACAGATGGACAAGCGGCCAAACGTGGTTCAGTCCCTTCTAGCTGGAGCAGCCAAAGCTTTTCCAGAGTGCAGGCTACCACCCCATGTTCTCAAGTTTGAGGCTAAAACCTTTGACGCATGGTATACAGCTCTCTGCCAGTTGGAGACCGCTGCCATCAAGCCGGGAGACGACTCAGCGATCGTTAAGGAAAGCAACCTCGACGCATTGGTGGATCTATATGCATCTCTTGGTGAGGAAGATCTTTTCTTCGGGACATGGCGTCGTCGGTGCCAGTTTGTCGAGACCAACGCAGCGCTATCGTACGAGCAGAATGGCATGTGGGACAAAGCCCAAAAGATGTACGAAGCAGCCCAGATCAAAGCGCGGACGGGCGTCATTCCTTTCTCCGAGGGCGAATACATGCTGTGGGAGGATCACTGGGTTCTTTGCGCTCAGAAGCTCCAGCAATGGGACATTCTTCAGGAGTTTGCTAAGCATGAGAATATGCAAGACCTGCTGTTGGAGTCTATCTGGCGCAACACTGAGTACTGGCAAAACCAAGAGAACAGGGAGCAATTGGACAATCACATCAAGGGCCTGATGGATGCGCCTACCCCGCGCAGAAGCTTTTTCCAGGCCTTCATGTCGTTGCTAAAATATCACAACAAGCAGGAGAGTCTTCAGGACTTTAACCGCGTTGTTGACGAGGCGATCCAACTTTCCATTCGGAAATGGCACCACCTTCCTAAGCGTCTCACCACAGCTCACATCCCGATCTTGCAGAACTTCCAGCAGTTGGTTGAGCTTCATGATGCTAGTGTGATCTGCCAGAGTCTTTCCGCAACCAACTCGAACAACCTCGATGCGCGATCCGGTGAGCTTAAGCTGCTCCTCGGCTCATGGCGGGATCGTCTCCCCAATACGTGGGATGATATTGTCGCATGGCAAGACCTGGTCACATGGAGACAACACGTCTTTGGTCTCATCAACAACACATATCTCCAGCTTTTGCCGCAACAAGGAGGACAAAGCGCTGGTGGTGCTTCGTTCGCGTATCGTGGGTTCCATGAAACTGCTTGGATCATCAATAGATTCGCGCACGTTGCCCGCAAGCATGGTCTCCACGAAGTGTGCATCAATCAACTCAGCCGCATCTACACCTTGCCGAACATTGAGATTCAAGAGGCCTTCCTCAAGCTGAGGGAGCAGGCCAAGTGCCACTATCAGAACCCAGAAGAGCTGCAAAATGGGCTGGAGGTCATTAACAACACCAATCTCGGCTACTTTACAGGTCAGCAAAAGGCTGAATTCTTCACCCTCAAGGGCATGTTCCTGGAGAAGCTTGGTCAAAAAGACGAGGTTGATACAGCTTATGGCATGGCACTTTCGCACGACATCTCGGCCCCTAAGGCGTGGGCAGAATGGGGCTACTTCAACGACAGAAAGTTCAGGGAGAACCCGGCTGATGTGCTTGCCGCCAAGCAGGCCCTTACATGCTACCTGCAAGCCGTGTCAAGCTATAAGAATCACAAGTCACGGAAGCTCATTGCACGGATTCTGTGGCTTTTGAGTCTCGATGACGCCAACAACACCATCTCGAGCGGGTTCGACGACTTTAAGGGCGAGACACCGACATGGTATTGGATTACGTACATCCCTCAGCTGCTCACCGGACTCAACCATAAGGAGGCACCGAGACTCCAGGTCGTCCTGAGCAAGATTGCTAAAAGCTACCCTCAGGCGCTTTACTTCCTGCTCCGAACCAGTCGCGAAGACATGCTGCAAATCAAGAAGGCTCAGGAGAATAAGGAGCGTCTGAGACAGCAACAGCAGCAACGAGCTCAAAGCGCAGCCGCAAACGCCAACAGGGCAAGTGCTACTCCGGGCCAGCCTACTCCTGCTGCTACGGCTACGGCTACTCCCAAGCCCGAAGGTGACTCACGACCTGCCACCGCTACTGGCGATGCTGCTGGACAGGTCAAGCCTGAAGTCAAGGCTGAGGGTGCAGTCAATGGTGTTCCTGTGGCACCTGGTCAAGGCAGCGTTCCTCCTCCAAACCCTGCTCAAGTCGCGGCAGGCCATCACGCTGCGGGTGCAGTCCCTGGCGCGCAGCCACAGGCCGTCCAGAAGAGGCCACCTTGGGAACTTACCGATGAGATCATGAGCATGTTGAAGACGGCATTCCCGCTCCTGGCGCTGTCCATGGAGACCATGGTGGATCAGATCCAGAAGCATTTCAAGTGCCCACCTGACGAAGACGCTTACAGACTCATTGTTGCACTCCTTAATGACGGACTGTCATATGTCAGTCGTATGCCAACTTCGTATGCCAGAGACGTCAAGCTTCCAGTCGCAACCGAGGCAAACATAACACGTTTTGCGGAGACGATATTGCCGACTCACATCCGAGGTACATTTGAACAAGAGTTTGTCAAGGCCAAACCCACCATGTATGAGTATATTCACAAACTCCGGAAATGGCGGGACAAGTTTGAAGAGAAGCTGGATCGCCGTCGCACAAGCATGCCTTTGGAGAACTTCTCTCACTATACGCCGCATCTGAGCGAGTTCCGGTATCAGAAGTTCGACGAGGTCGAGATTCCGGGTCAATACTTGCAGCATAAGGACAAGAACCAGGACTTTATCCGTATCGACAGGTTCCTGCCCAATGTTGATCTCGTCCGCACTTCCAATGTGTCGCATCGCCGACTGAAGATCCGCGGCCACGATGGTAGCGTTCACTCGTTTGCTGTTCAGCATCCTGCGGCCCGACAGTCTCGCCGCGAAGAGCGCCTTCTTCAGCTCTTCAGACAGCTCAATCAGACCTTGAGCCACAAGAAGGAGAGTCGCAGGCGTGATCTCCAGTTCACACTGCCCTTGATGGTACCGCTTGCACCTCATATTAGGATCATTCAAGAGGATACGTCGTACATCACTCTCCAGGGCATTTACGAGGACCATTGCCGTAGGTCGGGTGTACACAAGGATGAGCCATTCCTCTTTACGATGGAGAAACTGCGCGGGCTCATGGATGGAAAGCTGCCGAACGCGGTAAGTAGTCGCATGGTCCCAATGGATAGAACAAATGAGAGCAGCAGTACTGACATGTCAATGCAGAAGTTATCCGAACAGGGACAGAACGCGGCGGCTCGTCTTGAAGTGCTCAACGCGATTCAGGAGAAGTGGGTGCCGCACACACTGGTGCTGCAGTATTTCCAGGCTATCTTCCCCGACTTTGCCGAGTTCTGGCTCTTCAGGCGTCGCTTCTCATACCAGCTCGCTGCGCTCACGTTCATGACGTACATCTTGCATATCGATAAGCGGTATCCGCACAAGTTCAACATCGCGCGCGGCTCGGGTAACATCTGGGGCTCGGAGCTCACGGCTCTCATGGCGGCCAACAAGCCCTACTTCAGCAACACGGAGCCGGTGCCCTTCCGTCTCACGCCCAACCTTCAGACGCTCATGGGCCCGCTTGCGCTCGAGGGCATCTTTACCGTTTCCATGATGGCGATCGCGCGCTGTCTGACGGACCCGGAGTTCCAGCTCGAGCACGCGCTGACGCTGTTTGTCCGCGATGAGATGATCTTTTGGTTCACGAGCAGTCACAGGCCGCTGAACCTGTCGGATAATCAGCTGAGAGAGACGGTGCAGGCGAACAGCGAAATGATTGTCAAGCGGGCGGCATCGCTGGCTCAGGCGCCGGCGGGTAACTTGCCGGCGTATCAGACGATCATTGATCTGATTGCGAAGGCGGTTAGTCCGTTGAATTTGGCGCAGTGTGAGGCGTTGTGGATGCCGTATCTGTGATGGAGGGGTGGAGGTTTGCATGGTAGTTTGAGTCGCTGGAAGTGTGTTTCAATATGAGGAAAAGATTTTACAGGAACTTTGGAGTTTGTATGCTAAGAAAGGAGGACAGAGCACAGGGTGTATGTGGTAATGATGGGTTGTATCTGCATTCACGACGGTTATTGTATGGAGCGCAAGTTTGCATTGTTCTTGGTGTTAGGAGGAGTAAAAAAGTGATCAGTTAGCAGCAATGATTTAGATACACAAGGCCTACGGGCTGCTTATGAAATGGTTGGGCTTGTGAGAATGTGAAATAAAGTTGACGTGGCTTGAGGTTATCCTCGATGAGCTCGTCGGTGCAACATTTGGGCGCGTAACAGATTGAAATCTCATGCTTCGTTGCTCGCCTCATCCCAAACCCCGACACAGCCGCATCACGGAGTTGGAGATATCGGAGTTTGGAGCAATGGCACCACCCCCTGACCCCAATTCCAACCAAGTTCGTCCTGCATGCACACAGTTCAGCACAGTAAAAGCAAACAAACAGAGCACTAAGTACATAAGCTTCCCGAGCCAAGGCCCAACCAGGGCGGGCAGTCGGTGATACTTTCGGGACTTGCCAGCAGTCCGAGGGGATCAGCGCTTTCCAGCCGCAATAGGTACCAAGCTAAAAGCGGTAAAAGGTTCCCCGGTTCCCCGCATTAGCAGCCATTGGGAACGATTGACCTCTTTACTCAGAGGCACCCGCAGGACTGGACCGTCACTCAGCCAGGACTTCCACTTGACCTCGCAGAAACTCCAGCAGAGAAGGGACGGAGCCTCTCACAAGACACCAGCTCACCAAGTATGTCCTCCACCACACACTTTGCCATTGGCTTGTTGGTTCCTCACCTACGTCGAAAAAGCGGTCTCAGATCACGGGCACCAGAGTACCTGCATTCCACACTATATACATACAACCAATACTACTACTGATCGACGTTCGTCATCGCATTTGACGCGTGTCGCGGTGAAGGAGGTTGAAACGAACTAGGAAGCTAACCTAGCTGACTGTTTCGCCGCATTGGTCGACTTGGACGACTTGGACGACTTGGATTGTTGACTGTGGGCCAGAAAAAGTCAAGAGTTTGTTGGCTAAGGAAAAGTGGAAAGTGGATATATAGTTGAAGAACGACAGCCGTCCGGTTCCCCTTGGTAAGAGATTCCTTCCAAGTGATTTTGTTTTTTTTTTCTCTCTTTTTTTTCCCCCAGTCATCACATATTTTGCTTTCGATACCATTTACCAGAAGATGTCGGTGGCAGTGGAATTACCACTATCGGCTTTGTCGTCGTCTGCGACCGGTCCTACTGCCATGATGAACTCTGCGGATGTCAAGATGGAAGTTAACACTGAAGTTACAGGGGTTACAGGGATTACAGAAGTTGTTACGGAAGTCCTCAGCACAGAAACCAACACAAACTCAAAAGCCGAGGACACATTGGAAGACGAAATCAACGAAATCATCATGCGCCCAGACGTGATCCCGACCAAACTTTGGGAGCACCCGGACCCGGAGAGCACGCCGATGTGGCGGTTCTTGCAGAATGTGAATAAGCGACATGGACTTGACATGAAGGTCAGTATCCCATGTCCGCCATTTGACCCATTGCACCCCGGTATGTTAACAATATTCCTATCTAGACCTTCTCGGAGCTCCATGAATATTCCCTCCAAAACCGCTCGCAATTCTGGGCAGACGTCTGGGAGGAAGCCAACTATATCCACGAAGGCACCTACAGCAGAGTAGTCGACGAATCCGCCCCCATTGACGCCGTTCCCATCTGGTTCGAGGGCGTCAAGCTCAGCTACGCCGAGAACGTGCTCTACTCCCGACCCAAGGGTAGCTCTTCAAGTCAAACCCGATCCACAGTAGGGAAGGAAGACGACAAGGTAGCCGTGACCGAGGTGCGTGAAGGCGCAAGCGAAACCCGCGATGCCACCTACGGCGAGCTCCGCGAGCGAGCAGGGAGACTAGCCGCCGCGATGAAGGCGCGTGGAGTCAAGAAGGGCGACATTGTGGTCATTGTGGGTTCCAACAGCATCGACACGCTGCTCGTCTGGCTGGCCACCTCGTGGTTGGGCGCCATTTTCAGCAGCAGCTCGACCGACATGGGCACCAAGGGTATTCTGCAGCGGACGGTGCAAGTCAATCCCAAGCTGCTGTTTATGGACGACGCGGCCCTCTACAACGGCAAGATCGTCGACCTCCGGGAAAAGATGGCCGAAGTGGTCGAGGGCCTCAAAGACTGCAGCAACTTTGACAACATTGTCTCTATCCGACGCTTCTCCGAAGCCCGCGACATCTCGGCCGTTCCGAAAGCCATCACCTGGGACGACTTTCTTGCTTCCGCAGGCGCCACGCCCGCCATCCCGGACTTCGTCCGCATTCCCTTCCACGAACCCTACCTAATCTGCTACTCCTCCGGCACCACCGGAACGCCCAAAGCAATCGTACACTCCCTCGGCGGCGTGATGATCTCTTACTTCAAAGAAGGCGGGCTCCACGAAGGTCTTACGGGATCCGACGTAACCCTCCAATACACCACCACAGGCTGGATCATGTACCTCTCCAACGTCGCCATCTTGCTCTACGGCGGCAAAACCATCATCTACGACGGCTCGCCGTTCAAACCTGACTCCTCCATCTTGATTTCCCTCGCCGCCCAGCATAGAGTTACCAAGTTAGGCATTTCTCCCCGATGGATGTTCGAATTTGCCAAAAACGGCCAATCACCCCGTGAAATGGCCGACCTCTCAGCTTTGCGCATCGTCACTTGCACAGGCATGGTCCTCTCCGACCAACTATTCGAGTGGTTCTACGACTCTGGCTTCCCCCCTTCGGTCCAGCTCGCCAATATCTCAGGAGGCACCGACATCGCCGGCTGTTTCGGCATCTGCAACCCCCTGACGCCCGTCTACGTCGGCGGCACCCAGGGTCCCTCCCTGGGCGTCGCCGTGGAAATCTACGACTCCATGGTTGGCGACGGCGAACCAGGCCGTCCCGTCCCCGAAGGCACAGCAGGCGAATTGGTCGCCACCACCGCATTTCCCAACCTGCCCTGCTTCTTCTGGGCCGATCCCATTCCCGAAGACCAGAAAGGGGTGGCGTCCCCGGGAACGCGCTACCACTCTGCCTATTTTGCGCGCTTCCCGCACGTCTGGGCCCACGGCGATTTCTGCGTGATCCACCCGACCACGCGATCTTTGCACCTCCTCGGGCGCGCCGACGGGGTTCTCAATCCTTCGGGTGTGAGGTTTGGCTCGGCGGAGATTTACAGTGTCATTGAGCGCAGGTTCGCCGATCGCGTGCAGGACTCGTTGTGTGTAGGGCAGAGGAGGCCGAAGGATCATGACGAGAGTGTGATGCTTTTCTTGCTGATGAAGCCCGGCCAGAAGCTGGATGAGGCGCTGGTGAAAGAGGTCAAGGAGGCGATTGGAAAGGATCTGAGTAAGAGGCATGTGCCGAAATGGATTTTTGAGACGCCTGAAATTCCTGTGAGTTTTCTTCTTTTCCCGTGAGGGTACCTTTCTCTTTGTGGGGGTTTGATAACTAACCAGACAAAATAAAATACAGACAACCATCAATCTCAAAAAAGTTGAATTACCCGTCAAGCACATCGTGTGCGGACGTAAGGTCAAGCCGAGCGGGACGCTGGCTAATCCGCAGAGTCTGGACTTTTACTACCAGTTTGCAAAGGTGGAGGAGCTGGTGAATCCTCATCCTAACCTTTGAGGGTACATAATTAGGGGATGATCTCTGAGTATGGGGATGTCTTTACGAACTTGCGATAATCATGTAATGTTTGATGTATGATCAGGGGATTATTAGTACGACAGTAATGTACACGACACAAGTGTTGGATACGATGATGAGCTGAATCCAAGACTTACCAACCACTGGCTCAATCACAACAACCCAATACCCCGTCATGAATTATCTGCTTTTGATACTCCGTGCTTTCCTTGGCCTCCCGTTCCAACTTTTAGTTCCAGCCTTGATCAATATCCTATCCTGGACGCCATCGCTATGCCTATTTCCCGTGCTGATGTGCCAAGTACGGATAATCCAACAACAATGCTAATCAATCAAATCCCCATTACCATCCTAGTCAGTCGCTCAGCTCCATGCTATCCACCTCTTCTTGATCTCCCCTAAACAATCTAGTGCCCCCCGCCGCTCCCCTCCTTCCACCCCTAGCAACGCCCTTCCCTTTATCCTTCACACCACCTTGTCCTGGCGTCTCCGCAACGGCCCGCCTCCCCCTGTCCCTGGCCGATCTCATCCTCGCCGCAACCCCCAGCAACTGCTCAAAGCTGGCCGTGATCGCCTCATCCCCCGCTTCCCCGCCAAGACCCGCATCTGCAGTCCCTAGCAGCCCTATACCCCCTGCTTCTGCCGACTCCTCAAGCGCCTTATTCAGCAACTCCGTAGCGATGGGGTCCTGCGGGTGTATCGCCAACGCCTCATGCAACACCCGCACCGCCTCATCTGGTTTCCCTTGATCCAGGTATATCAATCCCTTGGCGCAAAATATCTGGGCATCTTTCCCGCCATCGCGAAGGACCTGGTCAAACTCCTCCAACGCCTCATCATGTTTCCTCAGCCGCCTCAGCGCATGCCCCAGGTTCGTACGGGCACCCAGCCAAGCGTGAGGATCGCTATCGGTCTCCTCGGCAATGGCGAGGGCCTGGTCGAACATCTTGACGGCCTCCTTCAGGCGGTCCTGGTGGTAGAGTACGATGCCCATCTCGTTGAGCAGCAGCGGGTCTGTCTTGCACAGCGAGTAGGCTGTCTTGAGGAACTCCTCGGCGGCCGTCATGTTGTTCATGGCGTGGTTCTGCATGCCCAAAAAGACCTGCGGTAAGTGGGTGCCTGTGAATAAGCGGGCCGCGGTCGAGTAAGCCGTCACGGCCTGGTCGTGCTCGCCCTCGGCGGCGAAGGTGTGCGCGAAGCCTATCCAGGCCGGACCAAAGTTGGCGTCCATCATGCTGGCCTTGCTAAAGTAGCGGCGCGCGTCGGCGATCTTGCCCGTGGTGAAGTAATAGATTCCGACGGCGAGCCAGGTGCAGGGTTCGTCGGGGTGGGTGTCGGCTAGTTCGTGGGCGATCAGGAAGAGTACGTTCGTTTTTCGGAGCTCGTACAGACAGGCAAGATGAATCGGGTAGACGGCGAAATTGTATTTGTCGTCCATCAGGATCGACTCGGTGATCGCAAGCGCATCCTTAAAGCGGCATTGCGTATAGAGCAGGTCGGCCTTGGCGAGCAAGATATCGGCATTGTTCTCGAGACCATAGTGTGTCGAAAGCGACTCGATGGCTGTGTTGAAGGCTTGTGGGTTGCGGTATTTGGAGAGCTGTGTTTGGTACAGCATATGCACGTAGTCGGCTGGTTCGTCCTCCATGTCTGGGTCATCGCCTGGAGCACGAATCGAGTCGAAGGCGAGCGACTGCATAAACTCGTCCTCCTCATCGGGCGACATCAGTGAGTTCTTGACCAGTTGGCTGAAGGCCTCGAAACACTGGACATCGATCCGCAAAGCATCTTTGTAGGCTTCCTTGGCTCGGTCGAAGGCATTCTGCTTGGCGTAACAGAGCCCTCGGAGATAGCACATGGAGGCTTCGTAGCGTCTGTTTGGTATGTCTTCCTCTGGTATATCGTCGCCTTGCTCGTGGTGGCGCGATGGTGTTTTTGAACTGGCTCTTGCTGTGGCGCCGCGCAAGCCTCGAGTAGTCTTCCGTTTCGCATTAGTCGCAAATAGGTGTGTCGGGGTGTGTTCGCCTAGTATCGCGAGGGCCTCGACGAAGTTGTTTTGTTTGATTAGGCAGTGCGCTGCGAGGTATCGGCAGGATGGACTCGAGGTGAGGAGGTCTTGTTTGACAAGCAGTGCCTGTGCTCGAGTATAATTTCCGGCGGCAAAGTGGACTTGGGCCAGAAAGAAGGCATCGTTATCGTCATCTGGAGCGACTCAACAGTTAGACATCAGAGCCGGTACCGGAATGAGGATTCAAACAAGTGCTTACTTGTCATGGCAAGGAGCTTGTCCCCTATGAATATAGCTGACTCGTACTGGGCTTTGTTGAGGGCATCCTGGCGCCATTCGCGCAGGAACTTTTCCATGTTAGGTTGCGAAGAAGCCATGCTGAGATGCCGGCCTCTTCATCGGCCGGCATAGAGTTGTGACGAGCGTCGAGAAGGTGAATCAATTTCAGTATTGGTCTGTACTTGTAGTGCGATGCGATGGATGGCGGCAGGAAGAATGCGACAAGTTGCGACAAGATGCCAAAGTCAACCAGTGCTCGGTAAGGTGTATTGCTTGAGCTAAAGCTAGTAAGAGAAGTCGGTAAATGCGCCAAATCCAATGCTTTTTGGGTGTATTACTAGGGCGTGAAAAAGGATGTACATTGAGGAAGTAAGTCAACAGAGATGTCCAAGCAATACAAAGACTCCTTCTCCTAGTTGGAAAAGAATGTTTCCCGACGCGATGTCCTGCAATGACGAAGGGCACATCGCGTTGGCGGGCGGGTGGACACAAGCGGCAGGCAATGGCGGGATGCGCGAGTTCAGGTGAGGGGCTCCACCCGCCCAGACTAACTGTACTAACCGTAATCGGTAGTTTGTTGACTTGCTCAAGGACAGTGCCGTTCCCCCTTTCCTTCTTCTTGCTTTGCGCTATGCAAACCCGACAAGCTTCAATTTCTGGACCATCTTTCAAGCCTGAGGTGGTTGGACATATATGCATAACGGCAAAGAAAACATGAACGATACATCGGTACCGACACATCGCCATTGAGACCATCTGCATCATGGCGAATAACATATGGCTGTTCAGTTTCAGCTGAGTGGCTTCTCTTGTACCATTTAGCCGTCATCACATAGGTCATGGGCAGTTGGCCGCGCATAGGCAACAAAGAGCCTGATATCGAAGAACATGCTGCTGGATATCATAAACGTGTTAAATCAGAACGAGACTTGTACCTGAGCAGACTCTCTCTATATTTTATCTAATTTTTTTTTTTTTTTAACATTTCAATTTCTTGATTGAATCAGCCTGATAGGAGTAATCCGAGGCCGCATACATCCAGATGTGCCAAATCCACCACGTGATAACTGAGGTAGAGGTTTAGTCAACTGATAATAAGTTGGTGCAAAAAAGAAGAGAAGAAAAACACAAAGAGGGGAAAAAAAAAAAAAAAAAAAAAAAAAAAAAAAAAAAAAAAAAAGGGTTCGACCCCTCGAGTAGGTATGTAGACCGAACGACGATACCCCAGCTGCTGCAGACCTGATTTACGAAAACCGCTGCGCTTAGTTTCCATCAACGGTAGCCACTGCACCTTGAGACCACAGGGCTCCCCGTTGTGGTAGAGGGGCTGGGTCACAACCCTCATATGGTGTCTGTTACTGGTACCTGGGCCACGTCTAGGCTAGGAAGGTACAGGGCGGGAAGCGAGTATCGCATTACCTGTATGATCTCTGCCATGAGGAAAGGAGTGTGTTGGCCGGGGCGACGGCGGCGGAAGGAAGGAAGGAAGGAAAGAAGAAATGGTGAGACAAAGAACTCGGAATGGTGAAGACAATGGTGGAAAGAACGCTGGTACGCAAGTATAGTCTAGATTGTATGTCTCTATTATTACGTCTCAATCCAATTTTTCTTCGTTCAAGCTACCTCTCCACCTATATTTTTAGCGAGGGAGGATCCTCCCACAATACCCCCTTCTCAAACCCATCCGTCTTACCTCCCCTTCCCACCATCAGTCTTCTTAGTGGGATGTCCCAACCCCAAGCAACTCGCAATCTTGAAAAAGATATCGGTATTGCTATAAACACCCCCAAAGTTGCCCGAGCAAGGCCCTTGCGCAAAAACCGGCACATCCGTGAGCGAGTGAACGCCCTGGCTCTCAGTCGTAGGCAACGTGCCGTTGACCACAAACCCGCCCGTTCTATCGGTAGGATTAACGTAATAATCATCATCACCCATACCCGGCAGCGTCACAGCAGGCGTACGGGAGCCGTTCTTGCCGACGCCGTACTGCTCACGGCGGTCAGGAGCGGCACCGGTGCCAGCGGCAATCACGTAGCGCGGGTCCCAGTTGACAGGGAAGTTGGGCCCCGTGTTGTAGCTGATACCCGGCTGCTCGACCGTGTACTGGGATAGTCCGGATTCCTTGTACACGCCGACGGCGGAGCGCTTGTGCCGGTCGTCCTTGTCGTGCTGGGCAGCGAGGTACTTGGTGTCGGCGCCGCCAAAGACGTCGAAGCCGTGGCCGTGATCAGCGGTGACGACGATGAGGGTGTTGTTGAGCTCTCCGAGGTCTTGGAGTTTCTGGATCGTGGCCCGGACGGTGTCGTCAAGCTCGAGCAGGTCGCCGAGGGCGCGCTCGTAGTCAAGCACGTGCATCTGCTTGTCGATGGAGGCCGCTTCGGACATGAGGAAGAAGCCGTCCTTGCCGCCGCGTTTGTGCAGGATGTCGATGGCTTTGAGGGTCATTTCCTTTTGGCCGGGAATGTCCTTTGCTGGACCGGAGGCGCCCGAGGGGTCGTTCTTGAGCTTCAGAGTGTTTTCGGGGAAGATGTTGCGGTCTAGCCAGACGGGCAGGTTGGACTTGCAAAAGATACCGAGCGCCTTCTTGTCGTCGGGAAGAGCGAGGAGGGAGGTCTTGTTGAGGCTGACCGAGTATCCTTTCTTGGCGAATTCGGCGTAGTAGTCCTTACCCTGGTATGAGGCAGAGCTGGGAAGGAACTGTTCGGCACCACCCCCAAAGTAAACATCCGGGCCATCTTGCTTTGTCCACGAAGTGTTTGAGAACCCATTGAGTGCTTGCTCAATGAGAGCGCCATATTCATACCGGGAGCGCGTGTGGGCGGTGAGAGCAGTAGGTGTGGCGTCGGCAATGAAGGCAGTCGAGACAGCACCCCAGGCAGAACCCTTAAAGCATTGGTGTCAGCAGGGGACAAGGAGAGATGGTAAGCTTGTAAGCGACTTACCCAGATACGCTTGAGAAGCTCAACGATGGTCTCGACCTTGGGATCGTCGAACTTGTCTGGCGACGAGTCAACGTAAACACTGTGTGTACTGTCAGTATGGCTTGAACGTTGTTCCCGCCAATATCACTTCTCGACTTACCCCATAGCGTTGACAGTGGTCTTGTGTCCTGTATATAAAGCAGAAGCCGAGTTCGCGCTATCGGTAATGAACGAGTCGATAGAGTGTGTCTGTCAGGCTGTTAGTTTGTTGCAGAGACAGCAATCACTGGGCCTCGATACTAACCATCTGATGACCCAAAGTTGGGAACTTGTCAAGCTGCAAAGTGCTCTGATACTTGCCATTGATGGACTTGTGGGCGAGCAGTCGAGCAGCGGTGATCATGTTGGTGGTCATACCGTCTCCTGAAAATTAAAGTTGACGGATCAGCCGACGTCCAGTGCCAAGTGATTCTCGCGAGAAAGCAAACATACCAATGAAAAGAATGACATTCTTAGCCTTCTTCTTGGTCGCAAGTGGTCTCACCATCCAAATGGCCGTTGTCGTCTTTCCCGAGTAATAGTTCAACGTAACCGTATATGTACCGGGCTCATACAGCGCAACTTGACGATAGATCTTGGAAGCGACATTGACGACCGAGGGAGTCTTGGCATCCTGGGCGAACAGGTCCTCATACCAAGAAAACGTCCATTTCTCGAGCGAAGGTTCCTTTAGTTCGAAGAAAGACGCAATGCTCTGGGGCTTCCCATTGTCCTTGGCGATGGTGACGGTGAACTTCTCATCCGGAACTCCGTCGTTGAAGGCCTCGGATCCGTTCTTGGGGGCGTGCACCTCAAAGCGTATGTCGAAGTGCTGTCCGGGGAGGAAATCTTGCTGGTCAGGTGGGAGGATGCAGCCCAAGGTTGGGCAAGTACCAAGCCGTTGAAAAGTCTGGCCGGAGACGACTGAGAGCGAAGTGGCCAGCAGGGCGAGGGCGCCGCTTATCCTGCTGGAGATCATGATGCCAGCACGAAGCGAGGAAATGAGAGCAGGAACCGGTTTGTGGTGGTGGTGGTTGGAACGCTGGAGAGAGCCATCATGAGGGTCGAGACGGTGCCGTCCTGGTCATATATACCCGCAATCTTTTTGGGTGTGATGGAGTTGATGACGAGGGTACATGTTCCTTTACCCTAGTAGGAACGTGCCTATTTCGACGCAGGTACTGGAGTCGTGGTGCACACATGCTTCGAGAGGCTGGGCTGCTGTCGCTCAGCCAAGGAGCCAAGGAAGCTATCTACGCCAGCCATGGCTTCAACATCCGACATCGCTTGGGGCACGAAGATGAACGTCGTCGGACAAGCGGTATCCTGGGCACGTGTCCATCTCTTGAGGATCTTTCATTGGTGCTGTCTTGGTACGGCTCGGGATGCACCACAACTTCACAACACCATCGAACCATCGGAAGTCGTCTGCATATCGCATCGCAAGCGACTCGGGGAGTAGACTGGGTGCCTGGCTGAGAACCAAGGACGACAAGCTGAGGGCGAGTTGATCGTAACCATGATCAAGCAAGGTAGGGCCGAGCTATTGGCATCCGGCAGTTATGCGGTTGCATCCACCGCAACCAGAAGCCGGGGATAGTGCCTCGGTGCCATGTGCGCCATGAGCGGGAACGTCAAAGGTTGAAGCGACGATGTGAACGTGGTTCAACTCGGGAGACTGATTGGCGATTGAGCGGCTGAGGGGCTAATATTGCCCACTGCTACTATACCCGGGCAGCTACGTACCCCCCATGTCATTTCAAAAGTGACGACAACTCCCACACTGTGTATGAAAAGATTCCCACTTCTATGATAACTTGATACGAATGTTCGGCCGTGTTCTTGTATGAATGAACGCTTACAGATTGTGGAATGGGGACATTGATTGTTTGCAATGTAGCCAAAACCAGGCAAAAGCAATGTAGAACAGTGCCTATATGGTCTTGACATTTTAGTGCACTTACAGCAACAATCAAGATCCCTCGTGGCGCAATTGGCTAGCGCGTCAGACTGTTAATCTGGAGGCTGTAAGTTCGATCCTTACCGAGGGAGCTTTCTTTTTTCTCCCAACTCCTTTTTATTCTTCGTCCTTATATATTTTTTTTTTCTATTTACATAGCGTTCCTCAAAAACAGCTTCAACGAATAACACCCATACATTAATTACTCTCGATCTATTTATTTTATCCGTTGCTAATGTCATTTTGCCTTACGCTTTCTCTTTTTTGTTCCATCAACTGAGAGAAATCAAACATACTGTAACTGCTCTTTTCTTTCTTCCCTTAACCTTCTCCTCTCTGCATGATACGGTTGTTAGGTTAGGACCGATTAAGCCCATCATGCCGCCATCAGACAAAGCTTCTCCAATCCCACTCTCCTGCTAGTACGCCCAAGAGGCCGCTGTCCAATTTTTTGCAGCTTCTTCTGCAGCGTTCAATCTCATCAACATAGTCCATGCTTCCGTATAAGGGGAGGCCTCGCCAGTCAAGCACGAAGAGTGAAGCCAAAAATCCCGGTGCTGCGCCAGCTCCTTCATCGCATAGCATATGTCCCACACGTTGCCATACCGTACGCCGCCACCAACTATCAACTCAAACTTGTCTTCTTCCTTTTCCTTCAGCGCCGCCCTCCCAAGTTCCCCGAGTGTTTCCAGGTTGTTAGTCGCATTTCCCCATCCTCCGGACGTCAACACCCCTTTGAAGCCATGCCCTTTCATCTTCTCGACAAGGCGTCCAATCGGGATCTTTGTGCCCGGGTAGTTCTGCGAAGTCGCGAGCACGCCGTCAAAGGCGCGGTGCAGGTAACAGGGATAAGGATGGGCCGTGAAGGTCAGCCTTTTGTTGGCCTTAGGATGAAGCATCAGCTCGTTTAAGGGACCGTCTAATCGTTTCTGCACCCCGAAAACGAACCCGTCGCCGCGTTCCGGGCTGAGGACATCTCGACCCATTGTCTTGAAGTCTTCAATACTCTGGCACATTGCGAGCAGCTCGGCTTCAGAGTACTGAAAATCCTGAACTTCTATCATTGGAGAGACGGATTTGTCGTCGTTTTTTGCACCTCGGGGCCGGATCATGATTCGTATGGCCGGTTGTTGGTCTTCCGCGAGGATCTCTGATTTTCGCAAATGAGTAAGGAACCGAATCGCATCTTTGATGTCAGGAGTCAATCCACCGTCTCCTGTATTTGAGCAACTGTGTTAGTCTTGAGTGAACTCTCAAGTTTGTTCCGAAATAGCGCGTGGTGGCCAGAACAGGATGTAACGGATGGCTTACCATACGAACCAACGGCGTTTAGTTCCAGCCGGATCCGGCGACATTCGGCAGAATTGAAGTTTTTGCAGAGCTTCAGTAGCTCTTTGAAACTCATTTGTTCAAAAGAACGGACATCGTCTTCTTCCACGTCGGTGGTAAAGATTGGGATCTCGAGTTTGAAGGGCATTTTGATGTCTTTCCCGATAAGCTGAACTCGTATTTACAAGCAAAAAGTACTTAACTGGGTTGTGGACGAATGGCTCGCGAATGTCGATAGAACGAAAAGATGTCGCCGTGGTTTGATGTTCAGTAGTGGTGATAAGTGGGGGTATCCGGTGATAATCAATGGGAAAGATCTGGACCAGGAGTTGGTGAAGAAGAGCGAGGAGTGTAAAGGGCAAAGGTACCTAGGTAGGTAAATGTGAAGAGGAAGATGTCTATCTTGAAAGAAAGTACACTGACTTGCGTTTGGAAGGCGTATCTCGGCGGTGTCATTTGAAGATACACAGTCGTCGTAGTTCCGGCAAGTGAAGCTGAATGGTTCGCGGGCTCGGTTTACCCTTGCCGTTGTCACTCCGACGAACGTCCCCGCCTTCAATGACACCTCATTCTTCCTTCCGGCTTCTGGAAGCCGCTTATATTAACGGTGGCCTTGTACGGCGAAACATGTTCTTTCCCCCGATTCCTAATTTATTATTCGGCATCAGTGACATATCTTGGTGTCCTCGTCGCCACTGCAGTTTGTCACTATTGAGTACCTTTCCTTAAGTCGAAAGCAGGCATACAACAACGAAACACCTTGCCAGCCTGCCATCAGATAGACGTCTCTCAATACCTCTACTATCTTTGATTTCACGCGTTTCACAGAGTAATTCAACCAATGTCAAATGAAAACCAATTCTCGATTTTAGTGCTTTTTATCATTGATCGCTAAGGTACACCCCCAGATATTCCGTAGGACGTAAGACATCTGTCCTGGTCTAAGAAAAAGCACTGGCTCGCCTCGATCCGCATAGGAAAACAGCCCTAGCTCTCATCTTCCTCCGCTAAGATCGCAGATCCTCCCGAACACTGTAAGGTGATAGAAAAGACGGATGCTGAACGATAACAGTTTACTGGGGCGGCCCAGGACATGTGTATCCGTCACATCTTTTCCTCGCCAACTGTCCTCCCCCTTCGTCTCCTAAACAGAAAGCAGGGCGAAAAAGTCCGGGATAGACTGGAACAGTAGGATGGGGATGTTTTGAGCCGAAACTGCTGAGTGTCTAAGGAAACCAGGCCTTCGTTCACTGTCTATGTCTCCGTCTACTTTTGCGCTTCCAAGAAATCCTCTTTTTTTGGTGTCTGTTTTAATTTAA